AGAGAGATGCATGCAGAGGGCAAGAGAGCAAAAACATGAGCTGAAATAGTCAACTTACTGTAGCAGTTCTACTAAAAGCATTTAACACAAGCTGTGGTTGCAATCTCAGTTGGTAGGACTTGCTTCAGATGTGCTGAGGCCCCCATGAATGTTCAATCCCCAGCACAAAACCAAAAACAAGAATAAAAAATTTCACTCTCAAGCACAAAACCTTGGGGTCTTTGCAACTGCCGTTTTGTTCTCCTTAAATGCTCTTATCCTTACAACATGGTTTGCTTTCCCACTTCTTCAAGGACTTTGTTCAATGTCCCTTTTTCAAGAGCCCTTCCTTCCCTCCTACCTCTTCTTTTTTGTTTTTATGAGACAAGGTCTTGCCATAATACCCCTGGCTGGCCTGGATCTCATAGAGATCCACCTGCCTCTGCCTCTCCAGTGCTTGGATTAAAGATGTGCCCTATCACTCTGGCCTCCTGCCTGCTCTCTTAACTCTCACCCTACTCTTTTTCCAAGTCATCACCACCTGTATGCCTTCAGTTGTCTCCCCCTGTGTAGTTGTTTCCTCTGGATTCAAACATTGTCTCCTGGAGGGAGAAGGAAGGTTCACAAAGCTCATGAAACAAGAAACAAGTCCTTTTCCAAGGCTGTATAAGCCTGTGCCTTTACTTCCAGTGCTCAGGAAGTGGTGGTAGGAGGAGCAGGCATTCAAGGTTAAGTGTGAGGCCCACCTGGGCTACACTGAGACCATATCAAAGAAAAAGTTAATGATTGTGCACATTCTAGTGGAGTTCTTTAGTGGAGGAGCTGCCTGCAAGTTGTGCAGGGAATTCCAATTATGAAGCTTTTTTGAGCCATCCATGTCAGGGTGAGCTTTTTAGTGAATGAAGCTGTCAGGCTCTTGTAAGTCACTCCTCTCCCATGCTCCTGTAAGAAATGCCCATAAACTCATTCATTAGTTCTCCAAGCTGGACTTGGGTGGTATCACTGCCTTCTCTATCTGGGGTGAATAGAAACAGACTTACTAGGAAAAGTCATACAATGCCCCTCCTTGAAATTTAAATATATTTATATTTTATGTGTGTATTTGACCTGTAAGCATATCTGTCATCACACAGTGCCTTCAGAGGCTAGAAGAGGACATTGGCTTCTTTGGAACTGGAGTAACAGATGGTTATTAGCCACCATGGGGTGCTGGGAACCGAACCTGGGTGCTCTGCAAGAGCAGCCAGTGCTGAGCCATCTCTCCAGCACCCACCCTTGGAAATTTAAACTTTATAGGAAGTATCTTGTTTTATTTGCTTGCTGTACCTCCAGAACCATCTGAGTCAGGGTCTCAACGTGTATCCCTGGCTGGCTTGAAGTGATCCTCCTGCCTCCACCTTCCAAGGGTTAGGATTACAGGTGTGCCACGCTTTAGTGATTTTTTTTTCTTTGCACTACCAACTCGGAACACAAATCCCTTATTTAAAGGAGCTAAAATGGATAGTAATACATAAATTAAGGAATTGTCTGAATTTAGCTTTTCTTGACTGCATCCATAGACAGGAAGAATGCAAATATAACTCTAAACTTGGCCTTAAAACTTGGCTTCTTTCTTTGTGTGAATTCATTTTATATCATTCATGCCATCTCAAAAAATACTTTTGGGTTGTGGAGATGGCTCATCAGGTAATATGTTTGCCATGCAAGCATTCAAACCAGAGTTTGAATTCAAGCGCCCACACAAATGTTGGGTGGGCAAGGTGGCCAGCCTGTAATGTCAGCACATGAGAGGCAGAGACAGGGGCTCTGCAGAGCAAGCTAGGAATATCTAGATCTGGGTTGTGAGGAAGACACCTGACTTCAATCTCTGGCCTTTACATACACGTACACACTTATGCACAGCGCCCCACCCCCCCAACATGAACACATTCACATCGACACCACATACAAGCAAAAAAAACCGTTCCCAGGAGTTGAGGATTGGACTGTTAGTACTTCCCTAGCCTTCCCAGAGCCAAACACACACAGACTACCAGACTATATAGCTCTCAGATCTGAGATGGGTGGTGGCCCACGTCAGTAATTCCAGCATTCAGTAGGCTGGGACTGGACAACAGCAAGTTCAGGGCTAGTCTGGGCTGCATAGTAAGTTCCAAAACCGCCTCAGCTACATGAGACCTTGTCTGAAAACAAAAAAAATGGAGGTCCTCTGTGAAGCCAGAGATGATGCATTCAAGGTTGCATTTAACCTTGTTAACACAGAAGGCGTAGGGCACATGCTTGTAATCCCACCGGCCTGGCTGCAAAGGCAGCATCGAGTCCTGCTCTAGCAAGCAAATGGCTAACGTCTGAGTCATCGTAGGATCCGAGAACAAGATTAGGGATGGCACCCGAAGGCACTTCCGGTTTTCTAAACGCCTGGTCGCTGAGCTCATGACATCACCGAGGACGCCGCGATGTGGTGTAGCCTAGTGACGTCTTGCTCTTCCAATGACCCTGAGAACCCGACCTCTCGGGAGTGCTGATTGGCCACGAGCTGAGGCCCCGCCTCCCGACTTCCGCTCTCCTTCGCAGAAGAAGCTGGGTGCATTGCACTATTTCGCAGTTTCGTGTTTCTAGACGTTGGGTTTAGCCGAATTCAACATGCCGCGTGGAAGCCGTAGCCGCACTTCTCGGGTGCCCCCTCCAGCCAGGTGAGACACACGCCCCTCCGCGGGGGGGGGCTCGGGACGAGCGCATGGTCCGCGGCGGCATAGTGACGCGGGGGCCGCGAAGGGGCGGGTGGTCAGCCAGGGGCAGAGTGCTGGGGATCCGCTCCTGGGGAGGCCTAGAGTCACCGCTCACGAGCACACACGGACACGCTCGGTCACTGCCCGAGAGGACGCCGACGTATGACCTTTTGACCTAGGGTGATTTGAGAGAAGGACACTGGGGAAATAATAGCCGAAAGCCGGGCGCGGTGGCGCAGGCCTTTAATCCCAGCACGCGGGAGGCAGAGGCAGGCGGATGCCTGTGAGATCGAGACCAGGCTGGTTTACAAAGCTAGTTCCAGGCTAGCTGGGGCTATAGGGAGGCCCTGTCTCAAAAATAAATAAATATGGGCCAGGTTTGGTGGCGCCTGCTTTTAATCCCAGCACTCAGGATGCAGAGGCAGGTGGATCTCTGTGAATTCAAGGTCAGCCTGGTCTGCATAGTGAGTTCCAGGACAGCTGGGGCTACAGGGAGACTCTTTCTCAAAAAAGATCAAATAAATCAATAAATGGCTAGAAAGCATAAAGGTGAAGCTGTTGGAGCTAGGGGATCCCCCCCCTTTTTTTTTAAAGGTGCTTCAGGCTAGCTTCGAACTCAGTAGCCCAGGCTGGCCTGGAACTTACAGTGTGTAGCCCAGGCTGACTCAGAACATAGATTCTCCTGCCTCAACTTCCCTAGTGCTGGGATTACATGTATGCACCGCCATACCTAACTGAAGTTTGGGGGGGGGGAGTGTCTTTCTGAGACAGGGTCTCCTTGTAGCCCCAGCTGTCCTGGAACTCACTATGTAGACCAGGCTCAGGCTGGCCTTGAACTCACAGAGATTCACCTGCCTCTGCCTCCCGAATGCTGGGATTAAAGGCGTGCGCCACCACGCTCGGCCTTTTTTTTTTTTTAAATATTACATTTTAGTCTAGTCTGTGTGGAGGGGGGTAGGGTAAAGGAATCCTGTTGGAGGACAACTTGTAGGAGTAGGTTTTCTCCACCAGTGCCCGGATTTGGAAATTGTTGGAAGCATGCAGAATGCAGATGTTCCACAATTGGAGCATACAGCTGTTAAACGTAGACTGCCCTGGATCTTGAACCTGGGTAGTGCTAGTGCCGGGGAAAAGTACTGCCATAGGGTTAAACTCTTGACCGATGGGTGGTTTTGGGTTTGTTTTTTTTTTTTTTTTTTTTTTTTTTTTTTGCTTGAGATGTGGCATAGGCTGGTCTTAGTAAGTCTAGCTGGAGATGACTCCCGATCATCCTGCCTCCACCTCCAGAGTACTGGGATTATAGACATGCACACCACAGCTTGCTTGGGCTTTTGAAATGGTTAGCTCAGGCTGGCCTTGAACTTACCTTCCTCTCACAAGTGCTTGGATTGCTAAAGCATCCAGCACCTGGGCTTTGAGTGTGGTGGTAACATGCATGCAAGTAATACCTGCCCTTAAGAGGCAGAGGCAGGAGGGTACCCACAAGTTGTGCGGGCCACCTATGGAGACCCTGTCCCCAAGAACCAAGCAGTAAATAAAACTTAAATTTTATGGTTCTGACAAGTCATTGGCTTTCTGTTTTCTAAACCATAAAGTGAAGGCGTTGGGCTATTTTCTTTCCCCATGTGACTGTCTTAGGTTTTATTTTTGTTTGTTTGGGATTTTTTTTTTTTTTTTTCTTTTTGCTTTTGGTTTTGTTTGGTTGGTTGGAGAATTTTTTTTGTTTTGTTTTGAGACAGGGTCTCCCTAGCTGGCCTTGAACTCAGAGATCACAGAGGCATAAGTGTGCACGTGCCAGAGATGGCAGATACCAATGGAGCTGGAGTTATAGGTGATTGAGCATCTAACTACTGAGCCATCTTTGTTATTGCAACCTTAACAAAAGATTAAAGGGGTAAAGAAATAGAAGTAGTTAATAGAAATAGTTCCTGTACTTTTCTTGTTTGTATATAATAAAGGTGTTTAATTTAAAGGATTTAAAAAGAAGCCAGGTGTGGTGACATGCCTGTAATCCCAGAATTAGGTGAGGTTGAGGATCAGCCATGAGTTCAAGGCCAGCTCTTTTGTGTTTTCTTTTGAGGTGTGGTCTTATGTATCCCAGACTAGCCTTAAGCTCAAGACATAGCTGACTGAAAACTTCATGCTTTTTGTTCTTTTCTTTCACAGCCTTGCCCCTCGGATGAAACCTATTCCTAGGCCAGCACCCCCTGTAGCTCAGCCTCCAGCAGCAGCCCCGCCCTCTGCAATTAGCCCACCTCCTGTACCCCGGCAGCCAGGCCTGATGGCCCACATGGCAAGCACTGCAGCTGGTGTGGCTGTTGGCTCTGCAGTGGGGCACACACTGGGGCATGCCATCACTGGAGGCTTCAGTGGAGGTGGTAATGCTGAGCCTGCAAAGCCTGACATCACTTACCAGGTAAGCTTTAGGCAGCCATTCCCTTCTGTGGTTTTGTTTTGCTTTTTATTTTGAGACAGGGTCTTACTATGCTGTACTGGCTAGACTGGAACTCATACTAGAGAGTTCTCATAATATAGTCCACGGTGGCCTTGAGTTCATAGACTTGCCTCTGCCTCTTGAGTGCTGTGAAAAAACATGTGCCACCACTCCTGACAAGTTTCTTCGTATAGAAATTATCTTTAATTTTAGGATCTACAATACTTCTAAATAGAAAATGAGTCTCACCCCCACTCCCAAAGAAAGAGAGTTTGGAGAGATGGGTCAGTGAGTAAGAGTACTTGTTCTGTAAGCATGGGGACCTGAATTCAAATTTCCAGCACTCACATGAAAAGCCAGGCATGGCCATACATTCCTGTAACTCCAGCGTTAGGGAATGGAGACAGGCAGATCTGCAGAGCTTGTTGGCCGGTCAGCCTTGCCCTAACAGTCCAGCCCAACTTACTGTAAAATATTAAAAATCTCTTTGATCCCTTACTTGGTATCTTTCCATTATCTCTTCAGAAATAATATGGATTTTCTTTTCTGTTTGTTATGAGGAAAAGGGTTGCTTGGGGTGTTTTGTTTTGTTTTTTTGTCTTTATGAGACAGGGTCTCTCAGCTAGCCCGGAATGCACTATAAAGACCAGGCTGGCCTAGAACTCACAGCAATCTGCCTGCCTCCAAGTGCTGAGATTAAAGGTGTTGTGCCACCATGCCTGTCTGTTTTGTTTTTGTTTTTTGACAGGGTTTGTAGACCAGGCTGGCCTTGATCTCAGAGAGATCCACCTGGCCCCTGCCTCCTGAGTACTGGGACTTAAAGGTATGTGCTACTACACCTGACTCAATTTTTCTTTTCTAATGAGCACATACCCTGTTGGATTTCTGGTGTTCCTTAAGAAAGTTTACTTTTGGGGCTGGAGAGATGGCTCAGTGGTTAAGAGCACCAGCTGCTCTTTCAGAAGACCCAGGTTCAATTCGCAGTACCCACATGGCAGCTAACAACTATTTGTATTTCCAGTTCCAGGGGAATTCGACACCCTCTTCTGACCTCTGCAGGCATTGCCTGACATGGGTGTACTTACATACATGCAGGCAATATACACTCATCCAATAAAAATAATTTTTTTTTTTTTAAAAAGGTTACTTAGCTGGACGTGGTGGCACACACCTTTAATCCCAGCACTCAGGAGGAAAAAAAGACCAAAAAATAAAAAAGGTTACTTTTTTTTGTATGTATGTATGACTGTAGTACTGGGGATCAAACCCAGGGCTTCCCATATTCGAAGCTCACACTCTACTACTGAATTACATACATCCCATACCCATTTTTCAAGCCAGGGCTTTGCGTACTCACCAAACGTTTGCCCTAGAACTGCAGTTCCCATCTAAATTCAATATAACCTGATGCTCCACTTGAATTTTTATTGTTGTTTTCTAATCTGTTGGGGGCGGGGCATCTTGAACATTTTTAGTTTCATTTGAATTTTAGTCTTTGTGCTTTCTGCCTTTAAATGATTTTCACTTTCCATGTGATTGGGTAGAAACCTGAATTTATACCTGGTTCTGGTTGTTTCCCAGCTAACAGCAGGCTTCTTGCCTGAGTGTCCCCCCAGTGTCCTTCCTTAGTGGTGTCTAGTGTTGTGTTTTCACAGGAGCCTCAGGGAGCCCAGCTGATGGAGCAGCAGTCTGGTGGCCCTTGCCTTTTTGAGGTCAGACAGTTTCTGGAGTGTGCCCAGAAGCAGAGTGACATCAAACTCTGTGAGGGTTTCAATGAAGTGCTGAAGCAGTGCAGACTGGCAAATGGTAGGTGACCTTTCTGCTCAGTTCACAACTGTAGTCCTGAGCTGTATGACTTTTGGAGCCTATTTAGTGAAGTAAACTCAGAAGTTCGAAGAACTACCTAAATTTCTCTAAGCTTTTACCAATTATATTTCAAATGTGAGTTGTCTTTAAGCAGGCAGAAATCAGTGTCAGATCTTATTGGGATTTACTACATGTGAGTGGTCTCCTCATAGCTCTGAATATGAAATCAGCTCTTGAAATTAGGTTCCCTGGAATGTTGGCAGGCACCTTGTTTCTGTGTGGTGCCCTCCTGTAATTGCAGGAAGTTCAGCATCTATTAAAGTGCTTGTTTTCTTTTTCCCACCTTTAGTTGGATGGGAGATAGAGTTTAAGAGATTGCATATCCAAATTTGTCAGGACTTTTGTTGACTTCTACCAAAGTGGCAACATTTCTGCCTCCCAGCTTTGCCCCTAAAAGTACTTGTGTCCTCTCTCAGCTATGGCAAAGATGGAATTGAAGTTGGGTTGAAGGAAACTTTGAATGGCTTAAAAAAGAAAACAGTAACTTTAAGCTTTGTTGAATATCTGCAGCTAGTGACCTTCTGACTTTACCTTTTCTTCTAGGAGGGCTTCTCTAATCAAGTGCTAGCTGAAGAATTGGAAAATCGGCTCTGATGACCAACTTTAGTGTAAAAATGTAACTGATAGTGGTAGTGTGAACCAAGTAAATCTGGTTATTAACAACTCCATTGCTCAAGAATGGCCGTGGAAGAGTGTGCCCACAGAACAGTTCACTGAGATGTGTGGAATTGGGGGCTGGGCAAGTGTTTGGCCTTCTTAAACCAGTTGTATTATGTTTCATTTGTGAGTTAATTAAAGTGATTTTATTCCGAGGTGTGTGGTGCTACCTCAAAATAAGGTTGGAAGCTGGGGATGTATGTGCAACATAATGGAGTTTGCAGGAGAACACAGCTGGGTCAACATACCGTTCAGTGCATCTTGTCTGGAGTCTCTGGATATTAAATTAGCTTCTACCCAGCAGATCTGACAACTCTGAGAGGTTACAGAAAGTGAAGCTCACCAGCTACTTATTTAAAAGTTTCCAGCAGTTTCAGGCCTTGGATTCTGGATACTGAGCAGCAGGAAAATACTGCTTACGATGATGATAAGGGACAGGTGTGAAGCTTTTATGGCGGCACACTTGCCTGGCATTCACCAAGTCCCGGGTTACACCTTCACGCACACCAAATAAACTAAATGGGTGACTGATAATAAATAGATGTGTTATGGACAGGCAGGCTCCCTGTGACTGTCAGCAGCCACTGTTACATCCAGTTTCCTTTATGATAGTCTTCCTATCCCAGACTGAACTGAAACTTTTGCCTCTGCCTGCCAAGTGCTAAGATAACAGGCCTGTGTGTGCAATCATGCCCAGCTAAAACCATTCTATATATAAACTTCCTCGGTAGTTTGTTGTTTTCTGCTTTTCTTACTGAAAGATTAGGCTGAACTCCTTCCTATGCTTGGGACTAAACCCAGCATCTCACGCAAAGGTAGGCTAAAGCTTTGCCACAATGCCCAGAACCCCAGCCCCAGGGTTTTAGGTCAACCCAGCTCTATACCTAAGTCTTTGCTTGAAGTGTAAACCAACTGGCCATATTGATAGATGCCTGTAATCCCAGGACTTGGGAAGCCAAAAGGAGAATAGTCTGGGTTACACAGCAAGACTGTCTCCTTCACACGAGAGTAAGTCAGATGTAGCTCAGAATCTGAAGAGAAAGTTACTGTAGCCACACATGTTGGTGCGCACCTACAATCCCAGGACTCGGGCAAAGGCAGGAGGATTGCTGGAAATGTGAGGCTAGCTGGGGCTGTGTAGGAAGACCTTACCTTTAATAAGAAAAACAAGTATTCCTTTCAAAACTGACTGTGGGGCTAGAGAAGATGGCTCAGTGGTATAACTACTTGCTCTTAGAGTTTGGTTTCCTGGGCCCACATTAGGTGGCTCACAACTTCTGCTTCAGGGGATCCGATACCTTCTGGCCTCTGAGCACTGCACTCCTGCAGACACCCCATATATGACATAAAGCTAGACCTGGTAGTACATGCCTTTAATCCCGGCAGAGGCAGGCAGATCTCTGAGATTAAGGCCAGTCTGATTTACATAGTTCCAGGTGAGATTCTGTCTCAAAAGAACAAAAATAAAACCTGCTTTGCCTCCTCTGAGCCAATTGGTCATACAGTCTTGTCTGGTCCCAAGTGTCTCTGGAAGTTTTCCTCGCCCTCCACCAGGTGTCATCCCTGTTGCAGTTCTGCCTCAGCCTTGTCCCTGCTTGGGCTTGGCTTGTATCCCAGGTTTGCACTTGTGATTTATTTTTGGCATGCCAGCCTTCTGTCACTAAGTACCAAACCCCCAAAGCAAGATATCTTACTCCAACCACAAGTGTCTACTCAGGATACAGCTTTACCCTGTGGTCTCCTGTTCCTCAGGGCCTTCGGGACCTTCGGGACTTTAATCACTCATTCAAGGACGTAAAGGTGAGTAGCTGGGGAGCAGTGGGATTGTAAGGTATACACAGAACCCTCCCAAAATCCCTTAGATCCACTTCCCTTTGAAAAGCAAATGGACTTTGGAAAGCACTGGTTCTTGGAAGACATGTTGGGGAGTTTTCTCTGAAGAAAGATCCTGTGGCTGGCTATACCAACTAGGTTTGGGGGAAGGATAATAGGTTCCAAAAATAGGCTATCTACTCCTATTTAGGAACCTTCCTCTGAGGAGTCTTGGAACAGGAGTAAGGGGCTGATGGAGCAGTGGGTAGAGAGACCTATTGTTGGCCCCAGTTGGCCCTCAGCAGGGGGATGGACACTGTGCACACATTATCAGGAAAGGTGAGTGCAGCCAGAATTTGACCAGCCTGTTCTGCCAGGTGTCAGAGTCCCAGGCCCAGGATGGCATCCTGGTGTGTGTCCAGATATGTCTTCTCATGGAAAGCTGGTGAAAGAGAGAGACTGTTCTGTTAGGTGAGGGTCACAGAAGCCCATCTTGGGGTCTTAGAAGGACCTGCCAGCCAAAAGGCTTGTGTTTTAGGAGAACAAACACCCCTAGGTTCTGTTGGATGTTGACAGAGCAGTAGACAGATCAGACCTCTGCTATTGGCAAAGGAGACAGTTGTTATTCTAAACCTCCCTCTGGTAACCAGGCACCGAGTAGCTGGACACCAAGCTTCTGCAACAGCCAGCTTGAGGCAGCCAGGACTGCTGTTTGGTTGGTCAGCAAACTGGCCACCTTAGGAGGCTAGGCCTTTTGGGGCCCACAGAAGTTGGTGAGAGGTTCCTGTTGTCCACAAGCCTCTGTTTCTGATGGTAGGTGACTGACTTCCTCAAATCCTGGGTCTGAAGCAGAATTCAGCTCCCTGGGAGGAGCCTCTAGATTCCTCTAGGTTGGCCAGTTTAACTTTTCCACATCCAAGGATAACGGTCTTGACTCTGGCTCAGTGGCAGTGTTTACCTAGTATGTACAAGGCTCTGAGTTCAATTCCCCCCACACACACACTGACAAAAAATTAGCAGTAGAACACTTGTCCAGCATGTGTTAAGGCTCTAGGCTCCATCCTGAGCAAAAGGAAAAATAAGAGTGACAGACCAGGTATAGAGGTTGGTGGATCTCTGAGTTCCAGGCCAGCCTGGTCTATATAGTGAGTGCCAGGCCAGGCAGGGATATATAATAAAACCTTATTTGTTTGTTTTTTCCAAAAAAAGGGGAATATATTGTCCACACTGCCCCAGGAATACTCAGGGCTCATGGACTGTTGTTATGTAGGACTTGAGGCATTCCAAGTAAACCAGGCCCTTGACCAGTGGGTCACCTGTCCAATCATTGATTCATACCCAGAAAGCAGTACTTGCTACACACCTGTGCTGGTCAGAGGTTACAGATGGCCAGGATGTCCTAGAGATCACGGTCTAACTGGACTGGACCTAAGACACCAGCTCTGACACAGTACTTGACTTTGGTTTGGGGGGGGGGGGTTTGTTTGGGTTGTTTTGTTTTGTTTTGTTGTTGTTTTTGGTCTTTTTGAGACAGGGTCTCTCTGGCCTGGAACTCACTATGTAGACCAGGCTGGTCTTGAACTCACAAGAGATCCACCTGCCTCTGCTTCCCAAGTGCTAGGACTACAGGCGTGCACCACCACACTGGACTTTGTTTTTGGCTCTCACTATGTCACTGGCTAGCCTGGAACTTGCTATTTAGACTAGGTTGACCTGGAACTGACAGGAATTTGTCTGCCCCTGCCCTTGGTCCTGCCTCCTGAGTGTTGGGATTACAGGTGTGAGCCACCATACCAGCCAATGCAACTTTTTTTTTTTTTTTTTTTTTTTTTTTTTTTTTTTTGGTCTTTTTGAGACAAGGTCTCTCTGTAGCACCAGTTGGCCTGGAACTCACTATGTAGACCAGGCTGGCCTTGAACTCACAGAGATCCACTTGTCTCTGCTTCCAGAGTGTTGGGACTAAAGGCGTGTACCACCACACCCCGGCCCACTTGAACTTTTTTTTTTTTTTTTTGGTCTTTTTGAGACAGGGTCTCCCTGTAGCCCCAGCTGTCCTGGAACTCACTATGTAGACCAGGCTGTCCTTGAACTCACAGAGATCCACCTGCCTCTGCCTCCCGAGTGCTGGGATTAAAGGCGTGCACCACCACACCCGGCCGAAACAACAGGCTTTTGAATGTATACCTTCCCTCAGCTTACCAGCCCACTCACTTTCTTGGGAGTGTCTTTCTTCATACTGTCTCTATTTCTACTACCTTAAAACAATAGGGCTGGCAAGATGACTCGGCTGGCAAGGTGACTCAGCAGGTTAAGACATTTGCTGCCAAGCCTGAGGACCTGAGTTCAATCCCCAGGACCCACATGGTAAAAAGAAAACTGAATCCCACAAGTTGTCCTCCACCTCCACATGTACATTGTGGTGTGCTCGCTCACGCGCATGCACACACACACACACACACACACGCACACACAAATAAACATAATTTAAAGAAGGAAATATGCTGGCTGTGGTAGTGAACACCTTTACTTCCAGAACTCATGAGTTCTAGGCCAGCATTTGGGAGGTGGGCACAGAAAGAAGTTCCTGGCCAGCTGCAATTACATAGCAAGTTCAATGTCAGCTTGGAATACAAGAGACCTTGCCTCAAAAAGAAAAAAGTAGCTGGGCGTGATGGTGCATGCCTTTAGTCCCAGCACTAGGGAGGCAGAAGCAGGTGGATCTCTGTGAGTTCAAGGCCAACGTGGTCTCCATGGTGAATCCAGGCCAGCTGGGGCTACAGGTAGACCCTATCTCAAAAAAAAAAAAAAAAAAAAGTAAAGCTGGGTGTGGTGGCATAAACCTTAAATTCCAGCACTAGGGAGGCCAAGGCAGGCGGCAGAGGAGGAGGAGGAAGGGGGGGAGAGAAGGAGGAAAAAAAGGTGGGTGTTCAGTGTTCAGTGTTGGCAGAAAGAAAGAATGAATGAAGGGGAAGGTGTGAATGTCCTGATGATGCCCAGAATGGGTGAAGGGCAGTGTGCTGAGCGCAGGAAGGATGGGAGTTTTTACCATGGGACAGCCAGCAGGGTGACACACAACTGGCCACTGCGATGAAGTGAAGCCTCTCATCTGCCTCAAACGCAGAGAACACACAGAAGGAAAGTGACCAGCCTGTCTCCTCATAGGAGGAATGGAGACTGCACTTCAATTTGCCCTCCAAAGTTAATCTTGTTGTTTGAGACAGAATTTTATGTAGCCCAGGCTGGCTTCAGACTTTCATTTCTCCTGCCTCAGCATCCAGAGAGCTGTGATGACAGGCATATGCCACCACACCTACCTGATAGACATTTATTCTAAATACTCCCTCTCAGCCGGTTTGTACCAGGAGCTATAAAGATAAAGGAGGGGGCTGGAGAGATGGCTCAGCGGTTAAGAACACTGGTTGTTCTTGCAGAAGATCCAGGTTCAAATCTCAGCACCCACATGGCAGCTAACAACTGTCCATAACTCCAGGGGAATCTAACTGCCTCTTCTGACCTCCACGGGCATTGCATGACATGGGTGTACTTACCTACATGCAGGCAATAAACGCATACACATAAAATAAAAATAATAAAAATTTTTTTTAAAAAAGAGGAGAAACAGTTCCAGCCTTACAATCCCTGGGATATCGGGAGCTGACTGCTTCTTTATATCCTACCCCCTCAGAGACCTGAGCATGACCCGGGACGAGGCCCTGCCTGACTCCCATTCTGCACAGGGCTTCTATGAGAATTATGAGCCCAAGGAGATCCTGGGCAGGTAAGACCCAGATCCTGCTTCTCCTCGTCCCCCACCAAGTCCTGACCTGGGCTCTGGCACCCTCCGCAGCCTAGCCATATCTCTGCTGGACCCTTGGCACTGGCCTCATTTCCATTATCTAAGTTCCATCCCTTTGGAAAGGAGGAAAAAAGAAAGAGTTACTACACAGGGCAGAACGTCTGTGCTGTGACCTTGGTCTGGGACTCCCCCGGACCACCTATTCTCTGTCCCCCAGGGGAGTCAGCAGTGTGGTCAGGCGCTGCATCCACAAGCCCACACGCCAGGAATATGCCGTGAAGGTCATCGACATCACAGGCGGAGGCAACTTCAGCCCTAAGGAGGTGCAGGAGCTTCGGAAAGCCACGGTGAAGGAGGTGGACATCCTGCAGAAAGTCTCCGGGCACCCCAACATCAGTAAGTGGAGGCCTTGCCCAAGCCACGGCAGCATGCTCCAAGGGGATTCTGTTCTGATACATCGAGTCAGGGCATACAAGTCACTGCAGGGTCAGCCAGAATCACTTGTTTGCCACTGTGTGCTCAGAGGCTGTGCCAGGTCATTCTTGAAGATGGAGGTTTCTAACTCCACACTCACTGCTCAGATAGAGAGGGTTCAGGCAGAGCTGGGAGTGGGGTAGGTGAGGAAGGGGAGTATGAAGTCCCTGGACCTGTCCACACTCCTGTGACTGCCCCTGGGAGCCATCCTGTTCCCACCCCCTGCTTTCAAACCAGCCTGCCTGGTTGATCCCTGTGCCCTGCGTCCGGCCCAAGCTCCCCTGCTCCTTGAGACGAGCTAGCCATTTCCATTTCAGTACAGCTGAAGGACACTTATGAGACCAACACTTTCTTCTTCTTGGTGTTTGATCTGTAAGTACTTAACCCTGGAGCCACCATTACCTTGGGGCCCACAAGACCCTCCACACTGTCGCTCTACCTGATGCTGTTAGATCAGCATCAGTCCCCTCCCCCCATGCTGTGGGGAAGGCAAGATTAATAGCTCTTAGGGCTATACTTCCAGGTTTTGAAAGCTGGGATACAACTTATGGATTGGCTAACTTAAAAAAAGCCTTATTTTAAGCTGGGTGTGGTGGCACGCCTGTAGTCCCAGCACTTGGGAGGCAGAGGCAGGTGGATCTCTGTGAGTTCAAGGCCAGCCTGGTCAACACAGTGAGTTCCAGGACAGCTGGGGTTACAGGGAGACCCTGTTTCAAAAAGACCAAATTTTTAAAAAATCTTATTTTATTTTATGTGTATGTGTATTGCCTGTATGTATGTAAGTGCATCCGTGTTGTGAAATGCATGTGGAGGACAGAGGACATCAGAGTCCCTGGAACTGGAGTTAAAGACAGTTGTTAGCTGCCATGTGGGTCCCCCAGCCATGTTAGCCCTATAATTGGATAATTTTATAAAGATTTTATTTATTTATTGGTCTTTTTGAGACAGGGTCTCTCTGTAGCCCCAGCTATCCTGGAACTCACTATGTAGACCAGGCTGGCCTTGAACCCACAGAGATCCGCCTGCTCTGCCTCCCAAGTGCTGGGATTCAAGGCGTGCACCACCATACCCAGCTAAAGATTTATTTGTGTGTGTGTGTGTGTGTGTTATTCCCTTGGAAGCCAGAAGAGGGCATCAGATTTCTTGGAGCTAGAGTTACAAGGGATTTGAACTCCAGGCTTTATAGTGAGCAGCAAATATTCTTAACTGCTGAGCCATGCCTACAGCCCAGATTGGATAATTTTTCTTGAGATAGGGTCTCTCTCCAAAGCTCAGGCTGGCTTTAAACCCCTAGCAATCCTTCTGCCTCAGTCTCCTGAGTGCTGGGGTTACAGGTATGCTTTCTTCTTCTTCTTCTTCTTTTTTTTTTTTTTTGATTTTCAATCTTTTGAAACCGGCACTCATATAGTTCAGTCTGCTCTTGAACTCTATATAGTTGACAATGGCTTTGCACTGCTGAACCTTCTGTTTCTACCTCCCAATTGCTGAGATCACAGGCTGCCACCATCATGCTCAGCTCTCTCCTCTCCTCCCCTCCCTTCCCCTTCCCTCCACTATCCTTTCCTGTCCTTCCTCTCTCATTCCTTCACTCTCTCCCTCCCTCATTTTCTGAGACACCTGAATGTTGAAATTACAGGTTTCTGCCACTAACTTTGGACTAAATACAAAATTCTACTCCCCTCCCTTTCCCTCCCCTCCCCTCCCCTATCCTTTCCTTTCCCCCTTTTCCTTTCTTTTCTTTTGAGGCAGCATCTCCCTACAAAGGCAAGGCTTTCTTGGGACTCACTCTTGAACTCATCATGATCCTCCTGCCTCAGCCTCCAGGGTGTTGAAATTACAGGCACAATACCACAACACCCAGCATTATTTGCTTTTGAAAAGAATTCTATTTTCTCTCTGGTGATGACTTTAGAGACGGAAGAGTGGGAAGAGGGAGGTCAGCAGTGTGGACAGGAGAAGCTGGTGGTAGAGGCAGTATCTAGGATGTGGTTCAAAGGCCAATATATCATCACTCTCCTTTTGCACCAACAGGGTGAGGGATGGGAGGTCTTTGTCACTAAGCATCAAATGTAAACAACACAAAACTGGGCATAATGGCACATGCCTGAAATCCTGGCACTCAGGAGAAAGGAGGGTTGCTGCAAGCTTGTGGAGTACCTGAGCTACATAGTGAGTACCAGGGCAGCCTGGGCTATATAACAAGACCTAGTCTCAAAACACCAAAGGGAAAAATGCAAATAACACTAGCTTTGTGAACAGTGTATTGGAAACTTATCACAGTTTTTTAAAAATGTGTATGAATGTTTGCTTGCATGTATGTATGTGCATGTGCATGCAGTACCAGAGGCAGCCAGAAGATGGCATCAGATACCCCTGGAACTGGAGTTATGGATGCTTGTTAGCCACTGTGTGGGTGCTGGGAACCAAATCCAGGTACTCTGTGAGAGCAGACACTAGCCACTGAGCCATCTCCCAGCCCCTATAGTTTCAAAAAATGTTTTATTTATTTTTATTTTTATTTTTTTGTCTTTTTTGAGACAGGGTCTCCCTGTAGCCCCAGCTGTCCTGGAACTCACTATGTAGACTAGGCTGGCCTTGAACTCACAGAGATCTGCCTGCCTCTGCCTCCCAAGTGCTGGGATTAAAGGCGTGTGCCACCAAGCCTGGCTTATTTATTATTTTTATTTTATGTCTGAGTGTATTGCCTGCATGCGTGTTACTGCACCGAGGGTCGTGCAGTGTCCATGGAGTTCAGAAGAGGGCATCTGGATCCCCTGGAACTGGAGTTACGAATGGTTGTTAGCCATGATGTGGATGCTGGGAATTGAACCCAGATCCTCTTCTCTCCACCCCCTATACTTTGTTTTATTAAGGTTTAATTTTTTTTTTTTTTTGTCTTTTTGAGACAGGGTCTCCCTGTAGCCCCAGCTGACCTGAAACTCACTATGTAGACCAAGCTGGCCTTGAACTCACAGAGATCTGCCTTCCTCTGCCTCCCAAGTGCTGGGATTAAAGATGTGCACCACCATGGCCGGCTCATCTGGATTTAATTTTTATTGATTTATTATCATTAAAAAATTGAAACATTTCACTATGTAACTCTGCTTGGGCTGGAACTCACAGAAAGTTGCCTACCTGTCACTGAAGTGCTGGGATTAAAAGCATGTGCCACCACACCTATCTTTTTATTCTATTTTAAATTACATGTATGTCTGTGTCTATTGGGGGTTATATGCATGTGCTCCCAGCAGCCAAAGGAGGGCGTTAGATCCCTTAGAGCTGGAGTGATCTACCCAATGTGGGTGCTGGGAACCAAATTCTTGTCCTCTGGAAGACCAGCAAGCACTCTTAAATGCTGAGCTATCTCTCTAGCCTGGAGACTTATTATCATGGTTTTTATTAGAAAAGATTCCCAGGATGGAGAGATGGCTCAGTGGTTAAGAGCACTAACTACTCTCTCTCTCTTTTTTTTTTTTTTTTTTTTGAGCCAGGGTCTCCTTGTAGCTCCAGCTGTCCTGGAATTCACTATGTAGACCAGGCCCAGCTTTGTATTTAACCACAGGAGTTCCCCTCTGGAGCTGCCCAGCTGCAGCCATCCTAGCAATGCTCTGTCACAGGGCTGTCCTGTGTAACCTTTGGGAACAGCTCAAATGTCTTTAACCTTTGAAGAGGTCATTTGGGGAAGCTATTTTTACTGCTGTCCTGAGAAGCCTTCCAGGATAAAACTAGATTGTTCTAGAAGAGACTACTTTCAAGATCAGAAAGGCAAAAAGATTGAATCACAACAAATTTTTTATTTTTTTGATCTGTTTATTTGTATTTTATGTGTATGAGTATTTTGTCTACATGGATGTGTGCCACATGTGTGTCATACACACAGAGGCCAGAAGAAGGTGTTGGATCCCTCTGGAACTGGAGTTATAGATGGTTGCTAGCTGCCATGTGGGTGCTAGGAACCAAACCGAGGTCCTCTGCAAGAGCAGCCAGTGCTCTTAACCCACTAAGCCATCTCTCTAGCCCGACTTTTTGATTTGTGAGACAAAAGTCTGGCTATGTAGTACAGCCTGGCCTTAAACATTTTTTTTGGAACAGAGTCTCATTATGTTGTTCTGTCTGGCCTAGAACTCGCTATATAGACCAGGCTGGCCTCAAACTCACAATTTGACTGCCTCTGCCTCAGGAATGCTGGGGTTAAAGGCAAGCACCATCACATCCAGCAGACCCTAAACTTTTGATCCACCTGCCTTAGTCTCCCAAATGCTAGCATTACACACATGTGCCACCAAGTCAGGCTTCGAACTGCAATTCTCTCATTTCTTCTCTTATTTTTTCATTCCTTCTTTGATTTTTTTTAGCTTAAAATTTTTATTTCATTTTTATTTTGTGTGTATGAATGTTTTGTGTGCATGTATGTAAGTGCAGTATATTCATGCAATGCTCATGGAAGTTAGAAAAGGGGTCAGATCCTTTGGAACTGGAATTACTGACAGTTGTTAGCTACCACATAGGTTCTGGGAACTGAACCTGGGTCCTCTGCAAGAACAGCCAGTGCTCTTACCTGCTGAGCCATTTCTCCAGCCTCTTTTTGGTTTTTTTGAGACAGAGTTTCATGTATCCCAGGCTGACCTCCAACTTACTGTGTAGCTGAGGATGACCTTGAACTCCTGATTCTCCTGCCTTCCCCTCCCAAGTGCTAGTATTACAGGCCTGCACTACCATAGCTGGTTCTTCTTAATCTTGAATTGGGCACACTTTGCTTCCCCAACATTTACACTTACAGTTCTTTCCCTTGATTCCTGGCAAAATCTCCAACTCCTCCTGATCTAGGTCTGGGGTCCTGGGCCAGAGGCTCAGAGGCCCAACTTTACCCTCAGCACTGACTGATCCCAAAGCATGATGTACTTCTACAGACAGGGACTCCCCACACCAGTGCATATCCCTTTTATCCAGCCTCTTGCTTTCCTTCCAACTCTTCCTAGACAACTTCTCCACTTCCTCCCCTAGTTCCTCTCCCCAGACTGCTCCTCCATGCAGAATAGCCCACCTTGCCTCTAGATCATCATAGAGGGAGACAGTACTGGAGGTAAGTACATTAGTTGCTGTGTGTGTGTGTGTGTGTGTGTGTGTGTGTGTGTGTGTGTGTGTGTATCTGTGTGTGTTTGAGACTGGGTTTCACTATGTAGCACTGGTTGGCCTGGAACTTACTATGTAGACCAAGCTAGCCTCAAACTTACAGAGATCTGCCTTCCTGTGCCTCTTGAGTGTTGGGATTAAAGATATATGCCGCTACATTTTACTGTATTAGTTACTTTTTTGTTGCTGTGATAAAGCACCATGACCAAAAGTGACTTAGGGAAGAAAGAATTTATTTTGGCTTACAGTGCCAAAAGGATAAGAGTTGGTCATGATGGGGAGGCGAAGCAGGCATGGTGGCAGCGGCAGGAAGCTGAGAGGTCACATCTCAGTCCACACCTAGGAAGCAGAGAGAGAAAACCTGAAGTGGGACAAGGCTATAAACCCTAAAGATTCCATGACCTCCCCACCACCTACTGGGGACCAAGTGTTCAAATACTTGAGCTTATGGGGAACATTTCTCATTCAAACCACTGGGTAAAGTCTTGGGAATCCTTTGTTTCCACAGGATGAAGAGAGGGGAGCTCTTTGACTACCTCACTGAAAAGGTCACCTTGAGTGAGAAGGAAACCAGGTAAGGTTTGTGCACCTGTCTATGTGCCTTTTTCATTTATTTCTTCATTTTTGGTCTTTTTTGAGACAGGGTCTCCCTATAGCCCTAGGTGGCTTGGAACTCACCATGTAGACCAGGCTGGCCTTGAACTCAGAGATCTGCCTGCCTCTGCCTCCTGAGTGCTGAGATTAAAGGCATGTGCCACTATGCCTGGCTATATGTCTTTTTCAAAGTCCTAAGCACCAAGTGGTCTGGCAGGAGGCCTGGTGTGTATGACTTAGCTGAAATTGGGCTTGCTTTTGAGTCTTTCCTGCCTCCTTGGCTCAATCTAGACTGTCTATGATCCTCCCTTACATGCAGCATGGCTGATATATGGGCTTTGGTCTCCCTGCATCTTACCTGATCTTGTAAAGTAGAAGGGTAATATGTGGTGGAACACTCATTCTGTCTTATGGAAAAATTGTTGACCAGTTCTAGAATCAGAAATAAAGCCAATGGACTGGTCCTGTAGCTCAGTGGTAGAGTACTTGCCTAGCATGTTCAAGGCCCTGGGTTCCATCCCCAGCAGCTGGAAAAAATACAAAACAAAACAAAAGCAGGCTGGGATGTGGTGATGAATACCTATAATCTCAACAACAGGGGGTGCTGAGGCAGGAGTATCATGAGTTCAAGGCCACTCTGGGTTGTGCGCGTTTTTGTCCTCAAAAAATAAAAATAAAAATAGGGTTAGGGCTGTAGCTCAGTTGGTAGAGTGCTTGCCTAGCAAGCAGGAAGCCCTGGATTCCATCCCCAGCACTGCATAAACTGGCCATGGTGGCACATGCCTGTAATCCAGGCATTTGAGAAGCAAAGGCAGGAAGATTAGGAATTTAAGCTACATAGTATGTTAGAGGCCAGCCTGGGCTAAATGAGAATGAGACCCTATCTAAAAATAATAAAATGAAATGAAGTTCAATGCCATGAACCACCTCTTCAGAAAGATCATGCGGGCCCTGCTGGAGGTGATCTGCACCTTGCACAGTCTCAACATTGTCCATCGGGACCTGAAGCCAGAGAACATCCTCCTGGATGATGACATGAACATCAAGCTTACGGACTTTGGTTTTTCCTGCCAGCTGCAGCCAGGAGAGAAGTTGCGAGGTTTGGTACCATGGCCTTGGCCCATGGAAGGGCCTCAGGGGTGGACACTGCTTGGGTCTCTCCTCAGAATAAAAATCCTAGAACTCCAGTGCCTGGGAAGAGTGCTCAGTGGGAAAAGTGCTTGCCACACAAGCATGAGGACCCAAGTTTGGATCCTACCATCCTCACAAAAAACCCTGTGTGGTGCTGTGTACCTTGTAACCCCAGTGCTGGGAAGGCAGGGATAGGAAGATCTCTGGGGGTTGCTGGCCAGCCAGTGTAGTCAAATCATCCAGCCAGTAAGAGATCCTGTCTCAAAAACAATATGGAAACACACGCGAACGCGCACACGCGCACACACACACACACACACAGGCACGGGCACGGGCATGGGTACGCATGGGCATACATGGACACCAAGATGGAGAACAATCAAGAAAGACACTTGATGTTGACTTCTGGTTTCCACATGAACATGAGCACACGTATATGCACACACATATACACATGTGCCCACACATGCATACATACAAGTGCACGCATATATTCCCCACATGTACACAAACACACACATTCTTAAAATCCTACTATTTTGGAAGCTAGACATCTCTTCAGGCAAGTCCTCTCTCTGCGACTACTTTGAGCCAGGATCACACTGCCTGATCTCCATGCTGGGATGGCTAAAAGGGCTCAGAGCACCCACAGGGGTTCCTGTGAGCCCACATACCCTGCTCCTACCCTTGGATCTGAAGTTGGTCAATGTTAGAATCCTACCAAGCATAGTTCTTCTCTGTGGCTTCTTTGCACTTCTTCTAAGGGCTCCTGCTGGCCTGCCTTGATAGTAACTCTTCCTGCAGAGGTCTGCGGGACTCCCATTTACCTGGCCCCTGAAATCATTCAGTGCTCCATGGATGACAGCCATCCTGGCTATGGGAAAGAGGTGGACATGTGCGTATATGAGGAGCTGGGGGGAGGGTGTCACACCCTTGGCAGGACTCCAGAGGAGCCCCTCCTGTGTGCTCCCCTATCCGAGAGGCTGAATGTGACATGATGCCCTGTGGCCCTGCAGGTGGAGCACAGGGGTCATCATGTATACTCTGCTGGCTGGCTCCCCACCCTTCTGGCACCGGAAGCAGATGCTGATGCTGAGGATGATCATGGATGGCAAATACCAGTTTGGTTCACCAGAGTGGGATGACTACTCAGACACTGTGAAGGACCTGGTGAGAGGACATGCTCACTGGCTCCCCTGGGTTCATGGGAGAGGAAAACACCCCAATGGGGGGGCACCTCGTGGTACAGGGTAGAGGGGTCCCCTAGGAAAGATCCTGTGTATTTGTCTCCTTGCTGCTACAAAATATCTGACAAAAGCAACTTAGGGAAGAAAGGATTTATTCTGGCTCTCAGAATAGTGGGAAGGCATGGCCAGCAGGAGGAGTGTGAGGCAGTTGCTCACATCACATCCACAGTCAGGAAGCAGAGAGCTATGAATGTTGGCGCTCAGCTCATTTTCTCCTTTTTATTCAGTCCAGGACCCGCCCCCCCGATGGGATGATAATAATCCCTCACAGGCATACCCAGTGGTTTGTTTCCATGGTGATTCTAAATCCTATACAACTGACACAATTAACCATCACACCCATGTCTTCGGAAACGCTGCAGTGGCATTCTCAGCTCCCGCTTGCAGGTATCCCGCTTCCTGGTGGTGAAACCTGGGGACCGCTGCACAGCAGAAGAGGCCTTGGCACACCCCTTCTTCCAGCAGTACGTGGTGGAAGAGGTGCGGCACTTCAGCCCCCGAGGGAAGTTCAAGGTACTAAAGCCTCCCTTAGGCCAGGCTCTGGGAGGTTGCTGCCTCCTGAGGTGCTCTAGGCCTGCTAGTACCGACCTATCTCCCCAGGGGCCAACCACCCCGAGGAACCCCAGAACTGCTCCTTCTACCCACCCTTGGCAGTTCCAATGGCTCTGCTGCAAAGAAAACGGGTGTCAGTGGACTTACCCTGTCTGCCTAAATCCCTGAGGATGCTGGTGGGGAGGCGCCCCCAACCTCCAAAAGCCATCCAAGGCTTCTTGACAAGCTCAGAGCCTCCCTGGTGGGGAGGATGCTGGCCTGGGTCGGATGGGGTGGTTTTTCAGTGCTGCCCCTGCAGGTGATGTGACCGTGCTGGTGTGGGTGAGCATCTACCACTCGGTGCTATCCCCTGCAGGTCATCTGTCTGACCGTGCTGGCTTCAGTGAGGATCTACTACCAGTACCGCCGGGTGAAGCCAGTGACCAGGGAGATTGTCATCCGAGACCCCTACGCTCTGCGGCCTCTGCGGCGGCTCATCGACGCCTATGCCTTCCGAATCTACGGCCACTGGGTGAAGAAGGGGCAGCAGCAGAACAGGGCTGCTCTCTTCGAGAACACACCCAAGGCCGTGCTCCTCTCCCTGGCTGAGGAGGAGGACTACTGAGGGGCAGGCAGGGTGGGGGGGGTGGTAGGCCAGCAGGGAGGGGAAGCCACAGAAACTGAGAAGAGGCGGCCTGGAGGAGACTGTGCAGTAGTGTCTCTCCACAAGATGAGTAGGGTGTTCCCATGACACAGCAAGACATGCAGTTGCAGCTGGGTGTGGAGTTGCAAGCCTGTCATTCCAGCTAGGCAGGAGGCTGAGGTAGGAGGATCGCAAGTTCCAGGGCAGTCTGGGCTACAGACTGCATTCCAAACCACCTTTACAACTTAGTGACCATACCCCAAAACAAAAAAAAACCCCAAAAACTAAGAGTGTAGGTCAGTGGTGAGTGCAAAGCCCTGAGTTCAACCCATAGTACATAAATATCAATGCATCCGAGGCCAGTCCAGTCCAGAACCCTGCTCCTTCTGGCTTCTCCACTATGCACCTGAGCCACTGTGTTTCTCTTGAGGGCTCAAGGTTACTGATAACAGAGCCCTCTTCCCTCAGGTCCCAGGGCAAGGATAAAAGGCAGAGTAATGCCTGCACATGGTGATGGATGCATATAATCCCAGCAGTTGGGAGGTAGAGGCAGGATGATCAGGAGTTCAAGATTATCCTCAGCTGTACAAGGATAGCCTGGACTATGTGAGACCGTGTCTTAAAAACAGGTCAGTGGAATGCCTGAGAGCTACAGATACAGGATTTATTGGCCTCATGAGGTCCAGTGCCACCATGGGAGCCACCTATTCTCCAGGGATGTTTTCAGAGGTATATCCCCCCACATGATTAACAACTATAGAAGCTTCTGACATTTGACCTCCTATGGGAGTACGACTTTGTTACTCCCACAAGAGTTTCACCTGGTAAATTTGTTCCACCAGAGTTTTAATACTTGGCACTGTGTAATCCCAGTACTTGGGAAGCTGAGGATTGAGAGTTTGAGGCTAGCCTTGGCTACATGATGAGACCCTGTCTCAAACAACAGACTAGCGAGGCTAGGTTCTGTCAGAGGGGCTTCAGACACCACAAAGTGCAGGAAACATTTTCCTTCTATGGCGATTCCCTGGGAAAACAGAGGGTGCCAGGTCGCAGAATCAGACAGGGAGAAAGGGAAGAGGTTTTAAAATATGGAACATTGTCTTTTGGAGAACTGCTCCAAATTTGGGAGTGTTTAGTCCCTATGTCCTTAATCCTGTACTTCAGTGAAGCAGCTCCCAGCCTCAGTAAGCCGGGTCTCCCCTTCCAGGCGTTGGCAGTCCCCTCTAGGGGGCAGTGTTCTCCTGCCCTTAGGAGGTGCCTGCCACTGAGGGAAGTGGAGAGAAAGAAGGCCATTCCCAAGCTGATGAGGAGTTTGGTGTCTGGTTGCCTTTGGAACACGGTTAGGGAGACACAGAACTGAGGAGGCCCTTTCTCCATCTGCGTGGCTGGCTGCTCACAGCTCTCCCTGTGGTCGGCCTGCACTGGAAGCGCAGCGGAAGCCCAGGTTGTCTGAGGCTGAATCTGGAGTGTTGCCCATCCTATAGCGGAACAGGGAGAGAGGGTGGACAGTGCTGGGCTTGAGAAGTCTTTCCTAAAGCTGACCAAATCCTATCTATAGTGAGTGAAGCAGGAGTCCTAGAGCTTGGGATCCAACCACACAGGAGCCACCACTGACCACCCATGTGAGATGTGCAGCCCCAGGGCCTCCTCTCTGGCAAATTGATTATGAACTGACTTGTGTGTTCAGCAGCCTCAAGAGTCAGTTACACCATGACTCCTGGTTGTGACCTACTGATATGCAATCACATATCCTTTTCTCTGCCCCATGAGAGGAGCGCAGGGAGTGAGGATGCCCGACAGTTCATCCCCCTTGGTGCTCAGTCTCAGGAAAGCATCCAAGCCATCTCTGGGCTCTTTTGCTTTTCATGGCAAGTACTGCTTGCTTGCTTTTCTTATCAAGGAGGGTGTTGAGTAGGAGCTGTGTGCAGAAGGATGTCGAGATGGGTGAGGAAGGGGCTGGAGTGTGAGAGGGGGATTGGGTGCAGAATCAGCACTTAGGTCAGTTCTGGGCCACCTATGTTCCAGAGCCCAGCATCCAGACCTTCAGCCCGGGCCACAATGGATTCTGGTCCCATGTGGATATCCTCACCTGGTGGTGACCCGGGCCCGGTGATTGGCAGAGCCATCTGCTGTGTCAATCCATGATGCCCCCCGGAGGACACGCATATCCTGGCCAGCAGCCTGATATGTGGACGCTGTCCACTCCCACACGTTGCCCATGAGGTCATACAGTCCTACAGCACAGCAGCATGCCATCAGACTGGGATGCAGGGGACTCCCTCCCATCCACCACAGGCCCAGGGGAGGAAAAGGGTACATTTTCTTCTTCCACCTCCACAGGCACAGTCTGTGAGCACCTGGTAGGAGATCTCACCATAGTTGTTCTGTGGGGGGAAAGCATTCACTGGAGACAGTCCATGGAAGCCATCCTCAGCTTTGTCACCCTTGGGGAACTTTCCCTGATAGAGAAATGAAAGTTCAAGGACTCATCAGTCTGACCCAAGGTGGGTGCTCCTGCCACCCAGAGAATACTAGGGTCACCCTGCTGTATCACTGGAGAAGGGGAAGGAAAATACATAGGCATATGGTACTTTGGAAAGAGTGGCATCTCTACCCCTCTGTGTTTTGTATCCCCTGCCTAGTTACTGGTGCTCACATCTGCTGCCTTCCCAGAAACCACTGAAGGTCGAGCCCTGTTTTCCTGTAGCCTACCTTCCCTTCTTCCATCAACAGACTTACCCCTGCCTCTCCTGTCTCCTGCCTTTATTAGCAAATTAAATATAAACCTATATTTGTTGATATAATTTCTTCACCTTGTTCATTTTTCTTATCAAAACTGGAACCCGGCCGGGTGTGGTGGCACATGCCTTTAATCCCAGCACTTGGGAGGAAGAGGCAGGTGGATCTCTGTGAGTTCAAGGCCAGCCTGGTCTACATAGTGAGATATGTAGACCAGGATAGCTGGGGCTACAGGGAGACCCTGTCTCAAAAGGACCAAAAAACAAAACAAAACAAAAACTGGAACCAGGTGTACACCTTTAGTCCCAGTATTCTGGAGACAAGAGAGGCAGTCGGATCTCTGTGAGATTGAGGTCAACCTGGTCTACATAGCAATTTCCAGGCCAGCTGGGGCTACAGGGAGACCCCGTTTCAAAAACACCAAAAAAACAAAAAAAAAAAAAAAACCAAAAAAAACCCCACCAAAACAAACAAACAAACAAAACACCAAAAAAACCCCAACCCTGGAGTTCAGGAGCTGGGGATGTGGCTCAGTTGGTAGAGTGCTTGGTTAGCATGCATGAAGTCCTGGCTTCTATCCCCAGCCAGGAATGGTAGTACACACCTGTTAGCTCAGCACTGGGAAGTGGAGGTAGAATGATAGTTCTTTCAAAGTCCTCTTGGCTACACAGTTTGAGGCCAGCCTGGGTTACATGATAACCCTATCTCAAAACAAAACAAAAAATACAGAAAACAGGTTTAACTGCCTAGAGGGAATTAGGTCATCAGAGGAACTGCTTTTGGACAGATTAATTCTGGTTTCTTGGACTTAGTTCACATGAGCACTATAAACCAGTCACCCTTCTCTGCTTCTCTACCTTCTTGTGACTCAGCAAGAGGGGCCCTGGCCAGAGACTGAACAGATGTTCAGATGACCTTTGGCTCTCAGTCTCCAAAATGGTGAGCTGAACAAACCTGTTTTCCTCAGAAAGTGCTCAGCCTCAGGAATTTTGTTATAGCAAAAGAAAACAAACTATTGCTTTTTTTTTTTTTTTCCCCAGTGCTAGGGATCAAACCTTGCATAACTTAGACAAGTGCTCTACCATTGAGTTATATTCTCAGCCCACTTTTTTCAACTTTTGCCCGAATATAAGTGACCCACAGGCACTTTAAATTATTTAAGATTTAAATTTTGTATTTGTATGTGTGTGGGGGTATGCGTGCAGGTGAGTGCAGGTGTCTGCAGAAGCCAGAGGCACGCATTTATTTGTGTGTGGGTTTGTGCACATGAGTGCAGGTGCCCACAGAGGCCAGAAGAAGGTGACAAATGCCCTAGAGCTGGAGTCACAGCTGATTGTGAGTTGCCTCACCTGATGCTATAAACAGAAATCAGATCCTCTGTAAAAGTAGCAAATGCTCTTGACCACTCAGCCATCTCTCAGTCCAAGGAATTATCTTTTTTGAGACAGGGTCTCCCTGTAGCCCCAGCTGTCCTGGAAATCACTATGTAGACCAGGCTGGCCTTGAACTCACAAAGATCCACCTGCCTCTGCCTCCCGAGTGCTGGGATTAAAGGCGTGCACCACCACACCCAGCCAAGGAATTATCTTTAAAAAAAAAAAAATTTTTTTTTTGGCCAGGCAGTGGCACACAAATTTAATCCCAGCACTCGAGAGGCAGAGGCAGGTAGATCTCTGTGAGTTCAAGGCCAGCTTGGTCTACATAGTGTAGCCAGGGCTACATAGAGACCCTGTCTCAAAAAAAATTATTTTGGTAGTGCTACAGACAACCCAGGGTCTCAGATGGTAGTCAGTCACTCTACCACTGAGCAATCATTTTTTGTAATTTATTTATCTGCTGTGTATATATACCTTTGTGTGTGTGTGTGTGTGTGTGTGTGTGTGTGTGTGTGTGATCATGTGTGCCACAGCATGTGGAGGTTAGAGGATAACTTCTGAGGGTTGGGTTTCTCCTTCCACGATGTGTATCCCAGGGATCCACCTCACATCGTCAAGCCAGGTGGCAAGTGCCCTTATCCTCTAAGCCATCTCGCCAGCCCTATACTTTTACTTTAAATTTTGAGTCAGAGTTTTATTAAGCTGCTGAGACAGACCCTGATCTTATGATCCTCCTGCCTTATCTGGGGATGACAGACCCACCCCACCAGGCCCTACCAGGCACTGTCTTTGGTCTCAGCCATTTATCAGTTATTAGTCCCATTAGAACTCAAAGACTAACACAATGCCCAGTTTACTGCAGGACTCAACCAAGACTTGAAGGAGGAGGAAAATAGGTCTTACCTGCCACAGATTGGTACGGTTTGGCTGGAACTGGTTCCCCCATGGGTAAACTTGACCTGAAGGACAAGGAGACAGACGAGAGCCAGAGTTGGGTGAGGAAAGAGTGAAGGAACCAGAAGGAGGTCAGGAGGTGGTGAGAAAGGAGGACCACACTTCCTTTTATTTCCAGAGCCTTCAGAAGCCCTCAGTCTCCTGCTTGGCACTACAGTGTAATCCTGAGTGTGGTGGAGGTAAGTATAGAAAATGAGAGAAAGCTGGGCATGGTAGTACACCTTTAATCCCAGCACTTGGGAGGCAGAGGCAGGTGGATCTCTGAATTCCAGGCCAGCCTGGTCTACATAGTGAGTTCCAGGCCAGCTAGGGCTACAGGGAGATCCTGTCTCAAAGACACATACATACATACATACATACATACATACATAAAAATGAGAGAAGAGGGTGGGAGATTGCTTGGCATTAATAGTGCTTGCCATCCTTCTAGAGGACCTGAGTTCAGTTTTCAGCACCCATGTAGGGCAGCTCACAACCACTTGTAATTCCAGCTCCAGGGGATCTGACATTCTCTCTGGCCTCCATGGGCACAGATACACATACACATAATTAAAAAAGAAAATAAATCTTTAGGGGTTGGACAGATACTCAGTGGTTAAGAGCACTAACTGCTCTTGCAGAGGACCTGAGTTCAGTTTCCAGCACCCACATGGCCACTAACAACTGTTCATAACTCCAGTTCCAGGGGATCTGATGCCTGACCTCCATAGGCGCTGCATGCATGTGGGGCACTTACATACATGCAGGCAAAATACAAATTTTTTTTTTTAATCTTTTTGAGACAGGGTCTTCCTGCAGCCCCAGCTGTCCTGGAACTCACTAAAGACCAGGCTGGCCTCATAGAGATCTTCCTGCCTCTGCCTCCCAAGTGCTGGGACTACAGGTGTGCACTACCATACCCGGTTCACAAATACATACTTATAAAATAAAAATAAATAAATCTTAAAAAAAAATTGAGACAGGGTCTCACTCTGTTGCCCAGGCTGGACTGGAACTCCCTATTTTGACCTAAGTAGTCCACCTAAATGCTATAACAGGGGTGAATCACCACACCTGCCTATATTACATATGAATAAATATAATTAAAACAAAATAGCCTAGGGGTGAAGTAGAGTTATCCCAAATGTCACTCCTTTTCCACAGGGGCACAGGAATTAAAGAACCACTGTTTAGGTTTGGTGGCTTATGCCTGTACTCAGGACGCTGAGGCAGGAGGATCACCAAGATCAAGGCCAGCTTGGGCTACGTGATGAAGGCAGGTGGGAAAAAGAGTAAGGGGACTTCACATACCCTTCAAGCCCCCACGGGCAGCAAACTCCCACTCCTCCTCTGTGGGCAGCCGTCTGCCACGCCATGCACAGTAGGCAGCAGCGTCATTCCAGCTCACATGTACCACAGGGAGCTCCAGTTTTTCTCGGATGCCAGAGCCAGGACCTGCAGGCTGAAAGTCAGAGTGAAGTGAGACAGGCTTCTGTGACTTCGGGGAAAGGTGAAGAAGGTTTGCCTTAGTATACCACGAGGTAAGGAAGTTGGTGAGTGAGGGAGTTAGAAGAAACACTGGTGCTACATACCTGAAATGCCAGCATTCAGGAGGCTGAGGTAGGAGGAAGCTGGGCCATAGAGATGCTGTGAGAGGAAAAGGGGAGGAGACAGGGAGACAGACAGACAGACAGACCGACCGACAGACAGACCTCTCAGTAAATGGAGCAATGGGCAATATGGAAAAGAATCAGAGCAGGGAATCGGGATTACTTGTCACTTTCCTAAACTCCCTGGTCATTCCTTAAAATCTGGTATTCCTGGAGAGGTTAGGGGTTTAGGGAAGCCAAATTTCCAGAATGAGATTCAGCAGTGGTAAAAATGAGGCAGAGGAACAAACACTCACCTGCCTCCAGAATGCCTTCTGTACTGGCAGCCACCAGAGAAGAGACTGCAAAGACAGAAGCAGCTGAGGTGAAGATGCTGACCCAGCAGAGGCCCTTCCTAATGCAGCACTGGAAACAGAGCACAGACTTTGGGCTGTGGATGCAACCCCCTTTTTTTTTTTCCCCAGTCTTTTTGAGACACAGTTTCCTGTAGCCCCATCTGGCCTAGAACTCAATTATGCAGACCAGGCTGGCCTCAATCTCATAGGGATCCACCTGTCTCTGTCTCCCAAGTACTGGGACTAAAAGTGTGCACAACCACACCCAGCTAATTACTGAGCTTTTAAATTTTATTTATTTTTATTTTACGTGTACAAATGTACTGCCTGCAGTATGTAAGTGTATCCGTGTTGTGCAATGCCTGCGGAGGACAGAGAGGGTGTTAAATCCCCTGGAGCTGGAGTTATGGACAGTTGTTAGCCACTATGTGGATGCTGAGATTTGAACCTGGGTCTTCTGCAAGTACAGCCAGGGCTCTTAACTGCTGAGCCATCTCTCCAGCCCCAATTATTGAGCTTTTTAACTATAAAATTTGTTGTTTTTATGCGTGTGTTTTGTCTGCATGTAAGTGCACCACGCACATGCAATGCCAGTGGAGTCCAGAAGAGGACGTCAAATTCCAGGAACTGGAGTTACAGATGATTAGCCACCATATAGGAGCCAGGAACTGAAACTAGGTCCTTTCAAGAGCAGCCAGTGCTCTCAGATTGCTGAGTCATCTCTCCTGCCCCTGTGGATGGAATCTTTGTTTTGTTGTTTTTTGAGACAGGGTTTCACTATGTAGTCCTGGATAGCCTGGAAATCATTAAGTTGACCAGGCTGGCCTTAAGTTGCCTGCTTCTGATTCCCAAGTGCTGGGATTAAAGTGTACTACACCCAGCTTCAAATGGAAGCTTTTTTTTTTGTCTTTTTGAGACAGGATCTTCCAGTAGCTCCAGCTCTCCTGGAACTCACTATGTAGACCAAACTGGCCTTGAACTCACAGAGATCCCCCTGCCTCTGCCTCCCCATTGCTGGGATTAAAGGCAGATGCCACCACGCCGGCCATTGGATGGAACATTTAAAGAGTGATATTATCCTGGGGATGGGGCTGTAGTAGAGTTGGTAGAGTGCTTGTTTAGCATTCCTAGAGCCCTGGATTTAGTCATCAGAACTATATGAAGCTGGCATGGTGGCATATGCTAGTAATCTCAGCAAAGAAAGAGGAAGGCAGGAGGATCAAGAGTTCAAGGTCATCCCTGGTTACAGAGTAAGTTCCAGGCCAGTCAGGGCTATATAGTGAGACCTTGTCTCAAAAAACAAGAGCCATGTCTTACCACCTTTTTTCCTTCATTTGTTCCTCTGTCCTTCCCTCTCCTCCCTCCGGTTTCTTTTTTTCTTAGTACTGGGAATTGAACCCAGGGCCTTGTACATGTTAGGCAAACACTCCATCTACCTACATCTCTAGCACATGAAAAAAAATTTAATTACGAAACAGCCTCTCACTAAACTGCTTGTGATGGCTTTGAATTCTCTGTAGCCAGGCCAGCCTTCAATTTGCCCTCCTCCTTCTGCTATACTCCTCTGGAGTATCTGGGTTTATAGGCATTCATCACCAGGCTGAGCTTCTACCATGCTTATTAGAGAAAAACTGGTCAAGATGTTTTCTTGATGGTTCAGGGAGTATCTGAACTCTCTATTTATGATTCTTCTCAGAGTATGGGCTCGGACTTAATTGCCTAGGATGGAATTCTCTTTGAGCTCTGCCTTCAGCTCAGAGGTCTGGTTATCCCCGGTGGCCCAGGTGACCCCAATCCCTTAGGAGTCTCTGCCCAGGTCTCACCTCTATCCCCTCCATGCCCAGGCTCTCTCACCGGCATCTGCTGAGTTGCTTGGTTTCTGAGATCATCGGAGACAAAATCCTCAAAGACAAAGCTCCATCCAAATGCCTCTGCCTCTGTCCGGTACTTTTTCTCCCTGACAAACTCCCTGGAAAGAGGCAGTTCACTTGGTTCAGTGGATAGGATTCCATGCCCCAGCCCTATGGTCTTCTGCTCCAGGAAACCTCATGTGTCCTTGTCCTGTTAAGAGTTTTCATAAGCCTAGGACTGGAGAGATGGCTCAGCAGTTAACAGCCCTTGCTGCTCCTCTAGAAGACCCAAGTTTGGCTTCTAGCACCCACCTACAGCAGCTTCCTCTAACTACAGCTTCAGGCAATCTGATGCCCTCTTCTGGCCTCCACTGGCACTGTAATCATGTGCACTTACCCACACACATACACATAAAAAATAAATCTTTAAAAACAAAGCTTCAAGCTGGGTGAGGTGGCAGAGGCCTTTAATGCCAGCACTGGGGAGACAGAGGCAGGCAAATCTCTGTGAGTTCAAGGCCAGCCTGGTCTACATAGTGAGTTCCAGGACAGCTGGGGCTACAGGGAGACCCTGTCTCAAAAAGACAAAAAAAAAAAAAAAAAAAGCAAAATCTCACAGAACTTATGCTCAAAAGACCAGGCTGGCCTTGAACTCACAGAGATCTGCCTGCCTCTACCTCCCAAGTGCTGGGACTACAGGTGTGCACCACGCCTGGTGGTTTTGCTTTTTTTTAGTAGTTTTGCTACCTGAGGCTGGCCAGGCTAGCCTTGAACTCTCCATCTCCTTGTCTTAGCCTCTTGAGTGCTGGGATTGTAGGTGTGTGCCAACACTCTTGGAGGTTTCAGGAGTTTTATTTTATTTTTTAATTTTATTCATTATTTTTAAGTGTATGCGTGTATTGCCTCCATGTAGGTAAGTGCACCCATGTTGTGCAATGCCGGCGGCAGACAGAAGAGGCCATCGGATCCCCTGGAACTGGAATTATGGACAGTTGTTAGCTGCCATGTGAGTGTTGGGATTCAAACCTGGGTCTTCTGCAAGAACAACCAGTGTTCTTAACTGCTGAGCCATCTCTCCAGTCCCAAGTTTCTTTTTTTAAAGCAGGATTTCACTATGTAGTCCAGGATGGTCCTGAACTCCTAGCACTCTTCCTGCCTTAGCCTCCTGAGTACTGGGATTATAAGGAGTTGCTACCACATTCAACTCTACCTCTGTGGGCTATCTGTTTGCTTGTGTTTTTGCTTGTTTGCTGGGATTAACGGCATGCATCACCACACCTGGCAAAGTTCTATAAGTTTTAATAAAGCACACAGGGCTGGTTGTAATAGCTCAGTAGTAGTGTTTATTGAGAAGGAGGCAAAGCCCTAGGTTCAATCCCCAGTACTAAAAAATCCCACAAAACACAAGCATATACAGGGCTGGAGAGATGGCTCAGTGGTTAAGATCATGTGCTGCTTTTTCAGAGGACCAGAGTTCAGTTCTCATTACTCATGCTGACCAGTTTACAAACACCTATAACTCCAGCTTCAGGGGACTGAATGCCCTCTCTGGCCTCTATGGGCACTGTACTCATATGTGCACATACACACAGACATACACAAATATACATAAAAAAATAAATCTTGTTTTAAAAAGCAGGGGCTAGAGAGATGGCTCAGCAATTAAGAGAGCTTGCCACTCTTGCAGAGGACCCAAGTTTGATTCCCAGCACTCACATGGCAATTTACAACTGTTTGTGACTCCAGTTCCAGGAGATCTGATGCCCTTTTCTGGCCTCCAGGGCACCAGGCAATACGTATGGTACACAAACATACATTCATGGAAATACTTGTACATATACAAAAAAATAAATCTTTTTAGAAAAAGTATATAGTTAGCTAGGTGTGGTGGCATATGCCCTTATCCCAGTACTTGGAGGCAGAGGCAGGTCGAGCTGTGAGTTCAAGGCCAGCCTGGTCTACATAGTGGTTTCCAGGCCAGTTGGGCTATGGGGAGACCCCATCTCAAAAAAAAAAGACTGAAAAAAATTTTATTATCACAATCAGGTATCGTGGTACACACCTGTAACCCTAGCACTCAGGAGGCCAGCCTGAGCTACAGTGTTAGGCTGTCACTAAAAGGAAAAAAGTAAGTATTACCATAATTCAAAGAACAGAGCAGTTGCACCACAGTTCCTACAGCTATTTGTCTATAACTTTGCCTTTCTAAGAATGACTTTTTCTTGTTTGTTTGGTTTGGTTTGTTTTTTTTTGAAACAGTGTCTCACTATATACCCAACTGGGCTGGAACTTGCTATGTAGACCAGATCAGCCTCAAACTCAGAGATCTGCCTGCTTCTGCCTCCTAAGTACTGGAATTAAAGGCACATGCCACCAGACCTGGCCCTGTTCTGTTTTGTTTCAAACAGGCTCTTGCTGTATCTCAGGCTGGCCTGAAACTTACTATGTAGCCCAGCTGGTCTCACAACCTGCAATTTTGCCTTGGCATCCCCAGTGCTGGGATTACAGACCTGTACCATCATGCCTGGCTCCAAAGATGTCATAAAATTGAATTGTACAGCACTGGTTTTTTGGGTAGGCATTTTTCATCTAGCATGGTGCATCAGAATCAGTGTTTCTGTGGAGGTTAGAGCTCAGCTAAGGATTTTATACACACATATTTTTTTTGTCTCTTTGAGACAGGGTCTCCCTGTAGCCCCAGCTGGCCTGGAACTCCCTATGTAGACCAGGCTAGCCTTGAACTCACAGAGAGCTGTCTGCCTCTGCCTTCCTAGTGCTGGGATTAAAGGTGTGTGCCACCATGCCCAGCTTGGACTTGAATATATTAAAGATTTATTTATTCATTGTTATGTGTGTATGTGCACCATCTGCAAGAGACCATGAAGGCTGGAAAAGGGCATCAGATTACCTGAACTGGAGTTACAGGAGGTTGTGAGCTGCTGTGTGGGTGCTGGAAACTGAAGGTGGGTTCAGTTAAGAGCCATTCTCTTAACCACTGAGCCATTTCTCCAGCTCCCCTCCTTTTATTTATTTTTGAATATTTTATTTATATTTTATATTTTATTTTATTTTTTTATGTGTATGAGTATATTGCCTGCATGCATGTGAGTGCACCCGTGTCATGCAATGGCGTGGAGGTCAGAAGAGGGTCCCCTGGAACAAGAATTAAGGATCGTTCATAGCAGCCATGTGGGTGCTGGGAATCGAACCCGGGTCCTCTGCAAGAGCAGTCAGCTCTTAACTGCTGTGCTATCTCTCCAGTCCAGCCCCCTTATTTATTTTTTTAAGACAAAGTCTGGCTATGTAGCCCTGGCTATCCTGGAACTTGGTTAGCCTTTGCCTCCCAAGTGCTGAGAATAAAGGTAAGGCACCATCATGCCCAGCTGTTTAAGGATTTTGAAGTAAGTTTAAATAAGGAACTCTTTGATTTGGGGGGCAGTACTAGAGATTGAATCAAAGGCCTTGCTAGGCAAGCTCTCTACCACTAAGTGACTGCCTTAGCCTGCTCATGTTGAAGCCACAAACACAGGCAAAATTAGCTGAGCATGGTGGCACACACCCTCATGTCTTTAATTGGGAGCCAGAGGCAGGTGGATCTCTGAGTTTGAGGCCAACCTGGTCTACAAAATAAGTTCCAGGGCTACATAATGAGACCCTATCTCACAAAACTAAAATAAAAAATTAAAATTTAAAATAAAATAGGCAAAATCCATCAACTAATGCAATATATCTTTCAGATTGCTTTTTCATGCATTACTCTGTATACATACATACTTTTTTTTTTGTCTTTTTGAAGCAGGATCTCCCTATAGCCCCAGCTGTCCTGGACTCACTATGTAGACCAGGCTGGCCTTGAACTCACAGAGATCCACCTGCCTCTGCCTCCCAAGTGCTGGGACTACAGGCGTGTGCCACCACGCCCGGCTCTATACATACATACATTTAAAAGTCAGGATCACATAATTTTTATGATTTATAAGATACTTTTCCATTTAGCATCTTATAGCTACCTCTTTTTGACAAGATTTATTTATTAATGAGATAGGAATAAATATTAGAATTTAAAAAGGTTAGAAAGAGCCTTTATTCCCCCCCACCCCCAAACACCTGGAGTACCTGAAATCGTTATTGGTGACGGGAAAAGTGTCGATGGCAAAGGGCTTTACTGTTACCTCCCGAGCAGGCCCTTCACCATCTCTACTGTCTGGAGCATCTGTTCCCATCAAGAATGTCCCACCCGGCAGCTGCACCATGCCAGGAGCCTGTGCATTTCCTGCAGAAAAGGAGAGTTGTAATGCATGCATACATATGCACATATACACAGAAGTGGTAATATTCGGATCAGGTGTAGTACTCATATACTAGTATAAAAGAAAAAACATGGGGCTGGGTGTGGTGGCTCCTGCCTGTAACCCCAACACTCAGGGACACTAGGGCAGGAGGATAGCTATGAGTTCAGTCCAGAGACCCTGTCTCAAAAAAGCAAGAAATAACAGCCAGGCATGGTGGTGCACGCCTGTAGTCCCAGCACTTGGGAGGCAGAGGCAGGCGGATCTCTGTGAGTTCAAGGCCAGCCTGGTCTAAGCAGTGAGTTCCAGGACAGCTGGGGCTTACAGGGAGACCCTGCTTCAAAAAGACCAAAAAAAAAAAAAAAAAGCAAGAGACAGGGCTGGGTAGATGACTCAGCAATTAATTAAGATCACTTGCTGCTCTTGCAGAAGACCTGAGTTCAGTTCCCAGGACCTATGTCAGGCAGCGCACAACTACTTGTAACTACAGCTCTAAGGGATCTGATAGCCTCTTCTGGCCTCTGAGAGTTCATACACATACCACATGGTAATTATAAAAGTAAATCTTAAGGGCTGGAGAGATGGCTCAGCGGTTAAGAATACTGACTGTTCTTGCAGAAGACCCGGGTTCAAATCCCAGCACCCACATGGCAGCTAACAACTGTCTGTAATTCCAGTTCCAGGGAATCCAACAGCCTCTTCTGTCCTCTGTGGGCATAGCACAACACTAGTGTACTTACTTACATGCAGGCATAACACTCATACACATAAAAAAATTATTAAATATGGGGGCTGGAGAGATGGCTCAGTGGTTAAGAACACTGGTTGTTTTTGCAGAAGACCCAGGTTTGAATCCCAGGACCCACATGACAAAAAACAACTCTCCATAACCCCAGTCCTAGGGGATCTGACAGCCTCTTCTGACCTCCACGGGCATTGCACGACATGGGTGCACTTACCTACATGCAGGCAATACACACATACACATTAAAAAAAAAAAAAAAGTTAAATATTAAAAAAAAACTTAAACAAAAAAAAAAGCACAAAGAAGGAATATATCTTCCTTACAATTACAATAACATTACTAGCAGGGTGTGGTGCACATGCCTTTAATCTCAGCACTCCAGAGGCAGAGGTAGGAGGATTTCTGTGAGTTCCAGGCCAGCATAGTCTACATAGACTGTTCCAGATCAGCCAGAACTACACAGTGAAACCCTGCCTCAAAAAAAAAAAAAAAAAAAAAAAAAAAAAAGATTACTTAAGTCAGGTGTGGTGGTACACACCTATAATCTTAGTACTTGGGGAGATAAATCAGAAGGATCTGGAGTTCTAGGCAATCCTCTGCTACACAGCAAATTTGAGGCTGGCCTGTTCTAGGATACCCTATTTTAAATAAACAAACAAATAAATGTTGACCATATGGTAGGTATTCACATACCTTGTTATTTCTATATAACCTTTCTGCCAGGTTAGGTAAATTTGTTTTAATTTTAATTTTTAAAAATAATTATTATTTTTGTTTTATGTGTATGAGTGTATTGCCTGCATGTATGTGAGTGCACCTGTGTTGGGAAATACCTGCAGAGGTCAAAAGAGGGTGTTGGATCCCCCAGAACTGGAGTTAGGGACAGTTGTTAGCTGCCATGTGGGTGCTGGGAACCAAACCCGGATCCTCTGCAAAAGCAGCCAATGCTCTTAACTGCTGAGCCATTTTTCCAGTACCTTATTTATTTTATAATTTATTTATTTTATAATTTATTTTAATTTAATTTATTTTGGTTTTGTGAGACAGGGTCTCCCTGTAGCCCCGGCTGGCCTGGAACTCACTAGACCTGGCTGGCCTTGAACTCACAGAGATCCGCCTGTCTTTGCCTCCCAAGTACTGGGACTAAATTAGGCATGCACCACTGCTCCTGGCATTATTATTTTTATGTCTATTAGTGTATTGCCTGCATACATGTAAGTGTACCTATGTGTCATGCAATGCCCATGGAGGTCATAAGAGGGTGTTGGATTCCCTGGAACAGGAGTTAGAGACGGTTGTTAGCTGGGACTCAAACCTTGCTCCTCTGTAAGAGGAGTCAGTGTTCTTAACTGCTAAGCCATCTCTCCAGCTCCTATTAGATTAGCAAGTACTCTTAACCACTGAGACAGCTTTCAAACAACTTTACTTCTAAAGATTTATATTTTGTATGTGTGTATCTGTGTGTGTGTGTATGTGCACATGTGAGTGCAGTGTCATCAAAGCCAGAAGAGGGCATCAGATCCATTGGCACTGGAGTTACAAACTGCAATGTATACCTTATGTGGATGCTGGGAGCTGAACTCTGGTCCTTTGGAAGAGCAGCAAGTGCTCCTATCTACTGAGCCATCTCTCTAGCTCCCCACCTCATATTTCTGCACAACCTTCCTGCCCTAGCTAGGTAAATTTAGAAGCTATAATCTCAAATACATTCACATTTTTACATTTACACAAATACATTTATACACACATCTGTTCTGTGTTTCACTCTATACTTGTTAAACATACATACACACACACACACACACACACACACACACACCCCAATTTTTTTTTTTTTTCTTTTTGAGACAGGGTCTCATAGAACCTAGGCTGGTCTGAAACTATGTAGCTGAGGATGACCTAGAACTTATGATCCTCCTGCCGACCCCTCCTGAGTGCTAGAATTACGGGTGTATACCACCATGCCCAGTTTATTTGGTACTGGGGCTAGAACTTAGGGCTTCATGTTAGGCGAGCACTCTACCAACTGAGCCAATCCCACAGTTGTTTCTGAGACAGGGATTTCACTGTTGTCTAAACTGGTTAGTCTCCAGCTCCTTAGTTCAAAGGAGCCTCCCATCTCTACCTCCCAAATGCTAAGCATGTGCCCTGACTTCAATCCTTTTTTGTTTTGTGGCATAGGGGATTGAACTCAGGGTCTCACAAATACTAGATAGTGCGCTACGCCTCTAGCCCTCAGCTTAAATTTGATCCTTTTCCTATTTATTTTTAGCTTTTCTTTTTTTCTTTGTTTTTTTTTTTTTTTTTTTTTTTTTTTTTTGTTTGAGTCAGGGTCTCCCTATAGCCATGGCTGGCCTGGAACTCACTATGTAGACCAGGCTTGATCTCATACAGATCTGCCTCCTGGGCTAGGATCAAAGGTGTTTGTGACCACACCCATTTTGGCCCTAATTTAATAAGCAACTATAATGTAAAAATATTTTTTAAGAGCTGGAACAATGGTTCAGTGTTTCAGAGTGCTTGCTGCTCTACCAGGGGACTCAAGTTTTGTTCCCAGCACCCATGTTGGGTGGCTCAGAACCACCTTTAACTCCAGATCTGGGGTATCTAACACTCTTATGGCTTCTGTGGGCATCTACACACACACACACGTTCCAATTTTTTTTAGATGTGGTGGCTCCCCTGTAACTCTAGCAGTTAGGAGGTTAAGGTAAAAGTATCAAGAGTTTGAGGATAACCTAAGCTACACAACAAGGCCCTGTTTCAAAGAAAACCAAACAAAAATTATTAAATAAACCGGTATTTGATGCTTACTATCTCAATACTGGCAAGGCTGTGGCAGGAGGATCACAAATTCAGGGCTAGTCTAGGCCACCTAGCCAAGACTTTGTATCAAAAACCAACCAAGAGCCAGGCATGGTGGTGCACGCCTTTAATTCCAGCACTTGTGAGGCAGAGGCAGGCGGACCTCTTCAAGGCCAGCCTGGTCTACACAGGGCGTTCCAGGCCAGCTGGGGCTACAGGGAGACCCTGTTTCCAAGAGGAAAAAAAAAACCAAAACCAAACGGGGCTGGCTCAGTAACTCAGTTGGTAGACTAGACCACTTGCCTAGCATGACTGAGGCCCTGGGTTGGATTCCCAGTCCTGCACGAACCAGGCATAATGAATGGCACATGCCTATGATCTCAGTACCACAGAGTTGGAGGCAGGAAGATCAGGAGTTCACCGTCATCTTCTGCTACACAGTCAGCTGAAGTCTTGCCTAGGTTACAGACCCTGTCTCAAAAAATAAAATAGGGAGTTGGGGAGATGGCTCCATGGTCAAGGGTGCTTACTGCTCTTGCAAAGGACTGGGGTTTGGTTCCCAGCACTCACATCACCTGCGTCTAATGCCTGTTGTGGGGGATGCAATGTCTCCAGGCACAGATATATACACATATGTAACAAATAAATGTTTTTTAAAAAACATAAAAAATGCTTTGAGATAATAAAAGGTACATTTGACCTGATGATATAGTGAGTACTGTAAACTGCCGATGTGGGAAATGGCATCGAATTGTACGACGTGACCGTGTGTTTTGAGTAGTCAAGCTGAATTCCCACGATTAAAATGGTATCTATGAGGCCTGGGTTCGCCAGCTCAGGAAAACGAGTAGCGGCATAGGTAAAAACAGCCAGTGCGGGCCTGTAATCCCACATGTGAGTCAAGACTGCCGCGAGTTCGAGGGCAGCCTGGACTACATAGGGTCCCTCTCAGAACCAAAGTGCCGTTTCCCGCTGGCCACCCCACGCCAGTCTGAGGCGCCGCGAAACTAACCCTTTCCGGGTGCTTGGGACGAGGCGGGCACACTGACCTCGCTGGAGCCCGGGGCCGAACAGGAGCCACAACAGCGGCAGGAGCGACAGCGAGGGACCCATATCTTGGCGTCGCGAGAGCACCACGCCGTGCGCATGCGCCAGCCGCGCTTACGACGCAGTACGCATGCGTATGCCGCCTCAAGCCCGCTGGATACCGCGCGCCTGCGCGCATACTTGTCACCCGGGGGTGCGGGGTGAGGGAGGAGTTGGGGGGGGAACGGGGGCGGGGGAGAGGGAACGGGACGGGACCCAGGTGGCAGAACGTCAGCTCCATGCTTGGAGGCAGGGCCCATGGATGAATTCTGCAGTGGAGTTGGGCCTGGCACAGCCTTGTCTGAAGTTTTTTTTGAAAAAAGGGTGTGTCTGGGCTAGGCGTATGGCGCACGCCTGTAGTCCCAGCACTTGGAAGGCAGAGGCAGACGGATCCCTGTGAGTTCTAGGCCAGCCTGCTCTACATAGCGAGTGCCAAGACAGCTGTGGCTATGGGGAGACCCTGTTTCAAAAAAAAAAAAAAAAAAAAAAAAAAAAAAAAAAAACTGCATGTCTGTGTTTGGAGGTTGGAAGAGGAAACTGATCACCTGAAATTAGAGGTGTTTATGACCCATTTGATGTGGATATTGGGAATGGAACCCAGGTCCTCTGGAAGCACAACACACCCTAACCATTGAGCTACCTCTCCAGCCCCAGGGACCGATTTTTCTAGAGTGATGTAGCCCTAGCTATCCTGGAACTCTATCCACCTACCTCTGCTAGGACTAAAGACCTCCCCTCCTCCACTAGCACACCCAGCTGTTTTCATCTTTTTTTTTTTTTGAGACTGTCCTGGAACTATGTAGACCAGGCGGGCCTCTAACTCACAAAAGATCCGCCTGCCTCTGCCTCCCAAGTGCTGGGGTTTTGTAAAGGCATGCACCACCACACCCGGCTAACCTGTTTTCATCTTTAAAGGATTATTTTTAAATATTTTAAGCCTGGTGTAGTAGCGCACCCTTAGTCCCAGCACGCCAGAGGCCGAGTCAGGTGGAGCTCTGTGAGTTCCAAGCCAGCTGGGGCTACCTACAGAAAGACCCTGTCTCAAAAAAAAAAAAAAAAAGAAAAGTTTATGATCGTATTTCCTGCACGTGAGTGCACCTGTGTCATGCAATGCCACGGTGGTCAGGGCGGTTTGTAGCCATATGGGTGCTGGGAATAAAAACCAGGTCCTCTACAAGAGCAGTGCTGTTAATTTCTAAGCCATCTCTCCAGGCGTTAGGTTTTATACACTAGTGTGTGCATTCGATCAGGGACCAGAAAGGAATACCCGGGAATTGGAAGTTACCAGTAGTTGTGAGCCTCCCAGTGTGGATACTGGGAATTGAACTGTCCTCTGCAAGAGCTCTCAGAGCTTTTTAATGGCAAAGCCATGGCATTTTATGTTCAGTTGTACCGTACAACACACCCCACAACCACAGGTGGTTTCAACTTTTTATTTCACTCATTGTAGAATACTGAACACTGCCCAAACACAAAGGTTTGAACATTTCTAAGGACTCACATGGAAACTAAGAATAGTTTGGGAGAGAAAAAGATGACACAAGAGGGGTTTTGACCAATATTCTGCAAAAGCATGAAGGTTATAGACTTGAAAATAGTCTCAAGATCCTTTTACCCTAGCCCTTATTCTCTGCCACCATTTACCTCTGCCTTTGTTTTGACAGTTGGTACTTAAAGCTCTTTCTCATCCTCTAATTCACTCAATTCTGTTTTGAAAGGGTTGGGTTTCAGATTTAAGAGCTCCTGCCCTAGTCTGCAAGTAGAGCTTGGGATTTTAAGCATAGCCAAGTGCTTAAGATACAGTAATTTTACTCATATTAGAGATATTTTTAAATTACCCAATTTTGATTTACAGTAGCATAAAACTTAAATGTTTAACAGGGAACTACTAATTCAAAGTAGTCATAAGAAAAATTTTTAAGATAGGTTCTCATGTAGCCCAAACTGCCTTCAAACTTTGTCTTCCTGACTTTACTTCCCAAATGCTGGGATTACAGAAGTACACCACCATGCCCAGCTTAGGAAAGTTAAACCACCACAATTTTTCAAACATTTAAGGAACAAGGTAGACAACATGCTCATCTAAACAAGTAATTTCGTATCACTGCAGCTAAGACATCTTGTTTAGTGGGCAGAGAGGTCCTGCTTTATGCGTGTACACAGTGTAATAAAAAATACCGTAATTACGATTTTACAGTATTGTAATTTGAAATAGTGCCAAGTATTCTTTCTTCATATGGGAAAAGGAAATTCCTTTGAAAATTGCTTGAATCCTGGACAAAAATGATCATTTTTCCCCTGGATCATTCTGTGGCCTTCCAGATTCAGATAAAAGGGACAGTTCAGCCTTTCAGAGAGGACATTCCAGCTCTCATGATTTCATCTACCAGAAGAATGTTGGTGGCAATCACAGTGCTGTAGGGAGAAAAAAAAAATCAGATGGCTCAGACATGAACACTAATTTAGCAACTTCAATGGCAATTTCCCCCAAAATTATCACCCCTACAAGAGTTATTTTAGTTTCCCCAAACTTACCATGAGTGAAGAAGCTGTTTCTTCACACAATAGTTATCCCATACGCCTACTTCTGCTGCTACCATTGGCTCACCTGAAAATCATCACATCTTAAAACCACGTTCCATCAGACACTGTCCATGAGGAAATACACAGTCTATGGCATACACAAACTACTAGCTCTGACAGGAACAGAAAATAAAGGTCAATGAAGTCTTGTTTTTTGAGATAGAGTCTTATAACATAGCCCAGGCTCACATCAAGTTTGTAATCCTGCTCCTCAGTTCTGCTGGAATTACAGGTTGTACCAACCACTCTGAGCTCAGGATCTTTAAAACAGTACTTTGTGCTGCCTTGCTTAGGACTAACTTCTTACACTGTTAACTATGAGTTCCCCCATTATTGCTCCTAGTCAATGTATCTTTAATGAGTGGCTGCTCTATACTTATCTGTTCTGGAAACATTCCTGTATACCTACATTAAAGAACAGTAATTGAGGCTGGGCATGGTGGCACTCAGGAGGCAGACAGATCTCTGCGAGCTGCAGGCCAGCCTTGTCTACATAGGGAGTTCCAGGCCAGCAGGGGCTACAGGGAGACCCTGTCTCAAAGAGAGAGAGAAAAAAAAAAAAAAAAGAATAGCAATTGAGGGGCTGGAGAGATCGGTGGTTAACAGCACTAGTTGCTCTTGCAGAAGACCCAGGTCCAATTTCCAGCATCCACATGGCAGGTAACTGTCTATAATATAACTGCAGCTTCAGGGGATCTGATGCCCTCTTCTGGCCTCCTCAGGCAGCAGACACCAATGTCGTGTATATGCCAACACACAGCAAAATACATACACATAAAACCTAAAAATAGCACTTGAATGACCACTTGCTGAAGTAGGTTTTTTATTTCCCTTGTTCCTGAAACCTCTTCTAAGTTAATGACAGTAGGCCTTCTGCTTTATACATGTATAATCTGTAATGGGCTAAATAAAAGCAGGGATAGAATCATTTCTAGATTTACTTTACAAATCAAAGTCTACTCTATGCATCAATCTATCCTTTTTTCAGTCCAGTTGTGAACAGCAACTCTTTTTCTCACCTGTGTTCAAATCCACACCAACAAGCTGACCCGATTCTGAATGTTCGGCTTGAACTTTAACTAATGTTTCCTGAAGGTCAAAACCAGAGTTCTGGGCAAGAACCTAAAGTGAACAAATTTAATTCTTGAAAAAATACAAACAGAACCCAGATTCAAGTCTACAATAAATGAACAGTATTTCCAATTACTTCTTTAAAAACGCACTTAAGTGAGCAGTATTACTGACCAACTGTCTAATCCCTTACAAACCCAGCTTTAAAAAAGGACTGGTTGGGGCTGGAGAGATGGCTTAGCAGTTAAGAGCACTGACTGCTCTTGCAGAGGACCCAGGTTCGATTCCCAGACACCCACACGGCAGCTATGAACCGTCCTTTACTCCAGTTCCAGGAGAATCCGAAGCCCACTTCTGACCTCCGCGGCATTGCACAACACGGGTGCACTCACACACATGCAGGCAATACACTCATGCACATAAAAAAAAGTTAAAAAAAAAAAAAAGCACTGGTTATAAACTCTAACCTTTGTTGAACACTGACAGTGTCCATCAGTTTAACGGAAACAGCAAAAATCAAGAGTATGCTCAAGAATAACCCATGTATTTAGTTTTGTTGTTTTGAGACAGGGTCTCACTATGTAGCCCTGGCTGGCTCCGAAGTCAGACACCCACGAGCCTTCTGAATGCTAGGATTAGATTAAATGCATATGCCATTACGCCTGGTACAAGTTCTTTCTCTTTTTTAAATTTTTTATTATTTTATGTGTATGAGTGTATTGCCTGCATGTGTGTAAGTGCACCTGTGTTGTGCAGTGCACAAGGAGGTCAGAAGAGTGTCTGGACTGGAACTGGTGTTACAGACAGTTGTTAGCTGCCATGTGGGTACTGGGAATCAAACCTGGGTCCTCTGCAACAGCAATCCGTGTTCTTAACCACTGAGCCATCTTTCCAGCCCTTCTTTCTCTTTTTTAAACACAGGGTCTGTACAGTATGTAGCTTAGAGAAGTCTCACACTCAAGGACCCTTGCCCCCTCTCCTTCCCAGGCAGGGCTGAGGAAAGTGCTACCATGTCTGGTTGCAAATATTCCTAAAATAGCTATCTCCTGTCATCTCAAATGTCAAAGCCAATCAAGTCTCCCAGAAAACAAATTTTTAACATGATGGAAAGGTAACTATATGGAGTAAGGGGGAAAAAAAAAAAAAAAGCCAGGCATTGTGGCAGGGGCAAGTGGATCTCTGTGAGATGAAGGCCAGCATGGTCTACACTGCAAATTCCAAGTCAGTTGGGACTATAGGTAGACTGTCTCAACAAAACACACACACACACCCAAAAAGGTACAAACTAACATTTGCACTTGACATTAGATAAAAGACAATGAAAACTAACATTTAAATAAGTATCCACACCTTGGGAATAATGAGCAAGGCATCTGCAAATGCCTGGACTCCAAGTTGAGCCCTGCCCTTTACACTGGGCTTGTATTTAATCAGGGCTTCTGCCATGGCCACTTCTACAGCACCAGCACCCGGGACAACACAACCTATTGGGAAGGGGAAAAAGAAATGCTAAGTTACAGAGAAAACAAAAAAACCAAACTGTAGAACTGATTAAGGGGAAAATATTAATATTAATACACATTAAACAGAATTCACTACTTTCCAATTAGTTTTAGTGTATCTTTTTGCTAGGGATGGAACTGAGGGGTCTCACATGTTAGGTGGGTGCTATAACACTAGCCACACCCCCAACACCCAGAATTCCATAACCAACTAACATCAAACAGCAGAGCAGTGTCATCTAACTAGTAACTGGCAGCTCTTAGGAGTTACCAGTATTGGCTCACTTGTACTCACTTTAAAAAATGATATACCAATAACAACTAGTATATCATCAGTCATTTAAAAGGAAGACTTTACTTTTGCATGGTGTCTGGCTGTGCAAATTACTGATAAAAAAACACAGTATTCGGCCATGCCTTTTAGACTAGCAACAAGAATACAAACTGTGGTTCTTACCATCATCAATAGCATTTTTGACAGCTCTCAAGCCATCTCTTATTGCATCCTTGATTTGAGTCAGTGTGTGCTTATTTGGTCCTTTGACCAGCAATGTGACAGAACGGGGATTGTTACATTTCTCAATGAAGGTGAACTTCTCTTCTCCCTATGTGTAGAAGATATTTTCAAAAACAGGTTATCATGAGGGTTGGAGAGATGGCTCAGTAGTTAAGAGCACTGGTTGTTTTTGTAGAAGACCTGGGTTCAAATCTCAGCACCCATATTGTGGCTAACAAATGTCTGTATCTCCAGTTTCAGGGGGTTCAACACCCACTTCTGTCCTGAGGGCACTCCACGACATTTACACACATGCAGGCAAATACACTTATACATACAATATAAAAGTAATAAATAAAAAGCACATTATCAACCAGGCATGATCGTATATGCCTTTAATCTCAGCACTTAGAAGGCAGATCTCTTTGGTCTGCATAGCAAGTTCCAGACCAGCCAGCACTACACAATGAGACTCTGTCACAAAAAAAGAAAACAACAACAAAAAATCATGAACAATCAAATACTGCTAGTTTCAGGAAGAAAACAATACTTACCAGTGTATACTCATATACAAGTCCTGCATGTCCCAGACAGTCAGGATTCAGGTCATCAAAGGAATTTAGAGCTACCCCACCACAAGCAAGAGTCAACCTGCAACAGGAAAGGAATGTTAGCAGTAATATTCAAAACCAAAAAGTTTTAGGATACCATTTTCAGAACTACATGCTCAAAGTGTATTTTTAAAAAGCATTTTTTTTTTTTTTTTTTTTTTTTTTACGGGGTTAGGGTCTCCCTGCAGACCCAGCTGGCCTAAACTCTCTATGTAGACCAGACTGGCCTTGAACTCAAGAGATCTGCCTGCCTCTGCCTCTGCATGCGCCACTACACCCAGCCTTAGAATACATTTTAAAATACACTTTCCAGGGCTGGAAACTTGGTGGTTTTAAAAGAGTTTGCTGGCCTTTCAGAGGACCAGAGTTCAGTTTCCAGCACCCACGCTGAACATAACCACTCAAATCCTCCTAACATCTCTTAATAACAAAAAATAGGTATAAAAGGAATCAAGTGTAGAGCAATATTCACAGAATTACACACAACTGTTGGGTGAAAGCAGACCATACGCTCACTGGCAGATGAACCACCAAAGGGGCACATACACACAAATGGACCACCAGCCATCTTTAGAGTCTGATGTGCCTGACAACAAACACGCCAGGCTGCTACTCCTGGGTCGGTTTACCCTCTACTTTAGAGGGCAGACTTTCCATTTTCAATTTATCATTTACTAAATTATTTGTTCTAAAATACTGAAAAATGTGACAGATACAAATGGACAAATATCCCAAGTCTACTCATAGATTGCAGATTGTGTTAAATACGCAGTGTCAAAAGTGCTAATAAGGAGCTGTGGGGAAGGAAACACTCATGTGGGACAATGGACAACAGTGATGATCACAACAATGCCATCCTAAGAGTGAGAATGTAGTAATTTTGAATTTAATTCAAAGGTTTTTTTTTTATTTTGAGACAGGGTCTCCATATAGCCCCAGCTGGCCTCCCAAAAGCTGGGATTAAAGGTGTACACCACCATGCCCAGCTTTAGATCAAAGTTTTAAAGATATTAAAAAGTAGACTATCTGGAGAGAGGACCGAAGAGAGTAACAGGGAGACTGTGTGGAAACAATCAAAGCATATTTCATACTTGTGTACAAAATATAATGAAACTCATTATTTTGCTCTTCGTTAACAAAGAAAAGTGCAGAAGTAAGCAGAAGTGAAAAAGGAAAAACCTAACTCACTTGCAAAGTAAGAAGTCACTTTAGTTAGATTATCTGCCCATACCTCTCCATATTTCTCCTCTTCGCTCTGCGCAGAGCTACTATGCCTTCTTTTGCAAGGGCATCTAAGGAAAAGGGGTCAATTCCCTGTAATAAAAACGAGAGAGGACTGAGTGGGCAAAAGGTCCTTGTTTGTCAAGCCTGATGACCTGGAGTTCAATCCCAGGGACCTACATGGTGGAAGGACAGAGCCAACTCCTGAAAGTTGTCCTCTGACCTCCATACATCCTCTGTGAACTACATGTATGTACACACACACACACACACACACACACAGCGCGCTCTCTCTCTCTCTCTCTCTCTCTCTCTCTCTCTCTCTCTCTCTCAATAACAAAGCTGGACTTGGTGGCACAAGTCCACCAAGCACTCAGGAGGTAAAAAATGCCAGCATCTATGAGATCCAGCCCAGTCCAGATGGTCTATATAGTGAGTTTCAAGCCATCTGGAGCTACATAGCAAGACCCTGTCTCAAACAACATTTATCTCAGGATTAGAGAGATGGCTCAGTGGTTAAGAGCACTGGCTGCTCTAAGGAGTAAGGTTCAGTCTCCAGCACCCACATGGCAGCTAACAGCTGCCCATTAACTCCAGTTCCAGGGGATCTGTTACCTTCTGGCCTCTGTGGTTATAGCATGCACAGGTGCACTTACAAACATGCAGACAAAACACTCATACACATTAAAGAATAGTCATAATTTCTAATTCTCACCTTTTGATTAATAACAACAAATCCTTTATCTGAATCACCACAGACTTTCTTCTTCAATTCTATTATTTTCTTAACTCTGTCTTCAATGAATTTTCGTTCAGCTTTTACTAGTTTTTCTCTCTCTTCTGCACTCTTGTAAAAAAATCCAGAATTCACTTCTCTATAAAAAAATAAAAGTCACAGAAAGGGGGAAGTTCGCATGTTTATTTTTTATGGCATTGAGGGAACTAAACTAGGCTGGTACATTCTAAAGCAAAAGCTCTACACTGAGCTACAACCCTAGCCTGCATGTTTTTGAGAAAACAGCAGCCCAGAAAACTAGATTAATCTTAAGACTTTCTTACAACTCTTAAGACTTGTAAGACTTTCTGCCTTATAGGCGGAAAAAACATTCATTCTGAAAGGGCTATAAACTCACGTTTTCTCATATTCTAAGGACACGTTGCATGTGAGGATGTATGCATTTTCTACTCTTTTCTTCATATCAGGATGCCGTGCTCCATGATCCAAAACTAGCCCTCGGATTAAGCTATAAAACAGGAAAACATATCACTGCTTATTTCCAGATAGATGGAAGGATGGAACATATACACATGAATTAAACTGAAACAACTGACTGCTATATTGATAAATTTTGTATCAAGCCACTTATTTCTACAATTATTTTGAAAAAAAATTCAAACATGTAAAACATAAGACACGCCACCCCAACAAAAGTGATAATCCTGCATCTTATACAAGATTCTGTACACGCTGACTAAGACACTATCAAACTGTGATATCTCCTTTAAATGCCAAATCACCAATATTCACATACTGGAATCATAGTGGTCATAGACACAGCAAAGCACTCCCCTCATTTCAACAATATATGCTACTTACAGCAATGTACCTGACAACTTATCCAACATGAACTTAGGGTTATCTAAATCTATTAATAATCTGCTAAAACATGTACTTCATGTACTTATCAATTTACCAACACACAAGTATAGCAAGGGTTTTAAAGCCCTCTGTCACTTACCTTGTATCAGTTTCAGATTTATGCTTCATCTCCATGATTTCAACCATGAAGAGGTCAATGGGCTCATCTTTTTTCTTAATGGCCAAAACAGAGTCCACCACAGCCTACAAGACGATAACCAGAAAATTTGACTTGCAGAAGTTGAAACACTTCCGCTGTCCTTCAAACAAACTTAAAAATTTCAGTTTGTAATTGCTTAAGGAATTATCAACACTCCCATTGTTTTATTAAAAATACCAATAATTTTTTAATCCTAGTACTCAGAAGGCAGAGGGAGACAGATCTCTGTTGAGTACAAAGTCAGTCTGGTTTACACGTGAATTCCAGGCCAGCTGGAATACAGGGAGACTTTGTCTCAAAAAGACCCAAAACAACAAAAACCAATTATACCTCCTCTAAAACTTGGTCAGGCAATCATTTTAATTTTCTCATTTCACGTTTTGGAGACACACATTAGTTTATCACTGCCTACAACAGAAATGAATCACTTATTTCTCGCAGTGAGCCTGTGAAGACCTTATGTGTGAACTACCAAGAGCACTGCTGTTTCTACTATCAAAGGCTTTCTGTGAGCATTGTACCACACACATACAAGGTGAATGAGTACCTCTGTTAGGACATCTGCAAGCTCAGCATGAACTTTAGTTCGTAGAGATGTTCTGGCCACATCAATAAGTGTTTCTCTATCCATTTCTCTGTTTACTTTAATTTGTTCCAAAAACTGGAGGGCCTTTTCCTTTGCAGCTTCAAAGCCTTCAGTTATTATTCTGGGATGAAGACCCTGTAACAAAAATACAATTACAAAACCAATTCCAACACTTGCATCTCCAATTAGATGCAATAATAATTCACCAATGTTCAGTAACTTGAGAGGATACTCTGGATTATTCATTTTCTTTTACAAAATCAAGGTAACATGATGTGCTCATTTTCTGAATACATTAAAAAGGACAGTATTCCTTTCAATGCAGAGGAAAAGAACAGACTTTACTCTAGCACAGAGTCAACGCCAAGAGAACTATAAAGCACACTTGGGTGTTCACTGTGCAAACCACCAAGAACATGAAAATGCAAAGCTGGTTCCTAAAAATCTGCTGACAATACAAGCATTTTTATCTTCCCTACAGGTAATCTAAAACTAATTTATATCATTAGAAATTATGAAAGCCTACATTTATATAGTTAGTTTTCTTTATTTGTGACACAGGGTCTCAGACTTAGGCATCCTCATCTTATGCACTATGGTTATTAACATGTCAATTCACACTAAAAGCCACCAACACTCCCTATACACAGCATACCACAAGAACAATAACCACTGAGTACCTCAGAGATGTAGAGGTCCGCCTGTTTCAGCAGCTCCCCAATGATAAGGACGTTGGAAGTAGTACCATCACCAGTTATGTCATCCTGGGCCGTAGCCACTTTTGCTATTAAAGAGGCTGTTGGGTGTTGAATTTGCTGAAAATAGAAAAAGAATTACTTAGAGGCTGGAGAGATGGCTCAGTGGTTAAGGGCACTGACTGTTCTTGCAGAGGATCCAGGTTCAATGCCCAACACCCACATGGCAGCTAACAACCATCCATAACTCCAGCTCCAGGGGATGTGATGCCTTCTTCTGACCTCTGTGGGCACTGCAGGACATGGACGCACTTACACACATGCAAGCAATACACTCACACATTAAAATAATATCTTCTTTAAGAAGAAAAAAGAACTACTTAAAAGATTTAAAATCTCTCAGGTGAAATTAAGATAGGCTCTTTAAATCTATTTAAACTGACCAGTACATCACCACATTTTGCTTTGAACTGCTAGATTTGGGGAGTCCAGGTGAATAAAACAGGTGCTCCTTATCTATTTAATTTGATCCCTGGGATTTAAAAAATGTAAAATTATTTCTCCTGCTCATGAATGGAGAGATTAAACAGAAAAATAAGTCTTTCTTCAGTTGGGAGCACTGGCTGCTCTTGCAGAGGACGGGGCACTCATGTGGCAACTGACATGTATCCCTAACTCTAGTTCCACAGGATCCCATGCCCTCTTCTACCTCCTTGGACACTGCATGAGATGTGTACACTTACATACATGCAGGCAATACACTCATACACAAAAGACAAAAATAAAAAATTAGCTCTGCTTCCTCTGCCTGCTTGAAGCTTTCTGCTCCAGCCACCTCCTGCTACCATGCCTCCCCAACTTTATGGAGACTCTCTCTCTGGAACTGGGCTTCTTATCACTTCAGACAGCTCCCCATACCTTCCTTGGCTGTGCCAGAACTCATGAGGGATGCCATTCTGAAACTAGGACAGGGTCACCTTTTTAAATACCCCGAGTATAAACACCCAAGCAAGCAGCTGATGAGACAATAAAAATTTATTATCAAAGTTAATCAACAAGGTCCTAAGCACTGTGCCTTGGAGAGTCAGGAGACAGAAACTGCTAAGGATTTAGTGACATGCAGGTCACAGGGATGTTTACCTCTCTTCCAGGATGACTTGAAGTCATAGGCATTTACTAAAACTTTAAAAAGAAACGGAAGTGTTGGAAAACGTGGCAAGGGAACTTCTAAGAAATTAGGAAAAGATGACAAATTGCCAATATAGGAGAAAAGAAAAAAAGAACCAAGAGCACCATCTTACAAAATGTCAGCACCTGAGGTGGCGTTTCAGAAAGAGAAAAATGGAGAGGAAGATATATCTAGAAAATGAATAAACAGCCAGGCGTGGTGGCGCATGCCTTTAGTCCCAGCACTTGGAAGGCAGAGGCAGGCAGACCATTGTGCGTTCAAGGCCAGCCTGGTCTATACAGTGAGTTCAGGTCAGCTGGGACTACAGGGAGACCCTGTCTCAAAAAGGCAAAAAGAAAACAACAACAACAAAAAAAGAAAATGAATAAAGACCAAATTCTACTGAAGAACATAAATTTCTTAACAGTGCCCAGCAAAATGAACAACAAAGCATCAGATCAAAATACTTTCTCTTCGGCTGGAGAGATGGCTCAGCATTTAAGACCATGTATTGCTCTCACAGAGCACCTGGGTTCAGTTCCCAGCACCCACATAGTGACTAACAACCATCAGTCACTCCAGTTCCATGGGATCTGATGCCCGCTTCTGGCCTCCGTGGGCACTGCCCAACATGGGTGTACTTACATGCAGGCAAAACACTCATAAAAATAAAAGTATTTTTTAAAAAAGTGTGAAGCTGGGGCTGGAGAGATGGCTCAGTGGTTAAGAACACTGACTGTTCTTGCAGAAGACCCGGGTTCAAATCCCAGCACCTACATGGCAGCTAACAACTGTCCGTTAACTCCAGTCCCGGGGGGATCTGACACTGCACAACACGGGTGCACTCACCTACATGCAGGTGCTACACGCTTACACACAAAATAAAATAAAATATTTATTTTAAAAAGTGTGATGCTATGGTCAGCAAGATGGGTTCAGGAGGTAAAGGCTATACCCTTAACCCTCTAATCCAAACTACAAAAAGGCAGAAAAGCCAGAGAATTCATGTCTGATACCCAGTACACTTGTATTCTTTTTTCTGCTTCTCTTATTCTCTGAAAGATATGCTGAGTCAATGCATTTTTCCCACCTTTTGAGTGACCTAGCACAGCAACCTCTTACCATTTCGTGAAGCAGGACGTTCCCGTCTTTAGTAAGCTTGATGTCTCCAGCACCAGAAACAAGCCTGTAAAATGGGCAGAAACTGACGAATCAGAATGTGAGTTTATTCAATGGCACCCAATCTGTGAGGGCTGCTACCACTGGCATTGTTAACTTCTGATTCTCCTTCCTCCAAGTGCTGAGACAACAGTCTTGCACCACCATTTCTCCTGGTTTACAAGGTGCTGGGGATCAAAACCAGGGCTTTGTGCATGCTAGGCAAGAATTTGGTTCATGTTTCTAACTCCACCACAGGGGACCTGAGGCAGAATTACTGGGATCCAGGCCAGAGGAGGCTACATAAAGTTGTCTCAAAGTAATTACAATTTAAAAATGGAGACTCTCGGGGGCTGGAGAAACGGCTCAGCAGCTAAGAGCACTGGCTGCTCTTGCAGAGGACCGGGGTTCGATTCCTAGCATCCAGCTGCACAACACGGGTGCACTTACATGCATACAGGCAATACACTCATACACATAAAATTATTTTAAAAATGAAGAATCTCATAAAACCATGAAAGTGTAAAGGGAGGAACAAAATGTAATGGAATATATATGATATGAAAACAAAAGGGCTTTGGGGAGGAACCAATTAAGAGGGGGAAAAGCATGAGGTGAATAACAACAAACTAAAATGTGTTATGTTAGGATGAAGTTCATTACTTCGCTTGCTAAAAGACATTAAAATAAATCCTATAAAACTTGGGCCTTAGTCCCACGTCTAGCAAGCTCGGAGCCACACGCCACCCTCTCCTTCCAGAGGAAGTGGGTGCGGCAGGCAGCCCCGAAAAGCGCGAACTCGAGCGGTTTTTGAGTCCCGCAGAAGCCCCGGAACAAACGGCCGGGGCAGAGGGACTGGGATGGCGAAGAGAGGCCGAGGGCAGCGATTGCGGTCTGCGGCCCGGAGCTCGCCAGGCCTGGGATTACCGACCCTCCTCCCGCCAGCCAGGCCTTACATCTTCATGGTGCCCTTAGGCCCCAAGTTGGTCCTCAGCACGTCCTGCAGGCCCCGTGCCGCGCTGATGTTAACCGCCAGCGCCGCCTGCGCCCGGGCCACCTCAGCCTTGGGGTTCAGGGTCTTCACCGCCGACATCGCTAGGCCAGCTCAAGGAGAGGCTGAAAACAACGTGCGACCAGCTCAGCGTGGCCCGAAAATCTCTATCCGGTCTTTCTCGAAAAGTCCAGCGCACCTGGCCCGCCTCCAGCGTGCCCACGCGCCACCGCCATTGGTTTGCGGGTCATGCTTTACTCGCTAATTGGCTCAATCGGCTGCTCATCGCCTGAGGCCTCGCCCATCGCGCGCAGATGCAGCGTCCTTGTGCATCAGCGAAACCTGTTCTCCAGAAATCTGGACTTCGGTTCCTAAGGTTCCGCTATGGTCGCCGCCCATTGTTGCGGATCCGGGCCCTCGGAACTGAAGCGCTGTGGTTGCGCGGCCTTCTCTGCAGGAAGGTCCCACAGGTTGGGTGTGAGTGATGCTATGGCCGCCTGCGCGCGTCTAGGCGTCACCGGAAGCAGAAGCATGGGGTTCTTTTTTAGTGGGACTTTCTAGCAGTAGGGTCTTCGGGATTCTTCCCTCACTCTTCCTTTATTTCTTTAATCCATTTTTTTTTTTTTTTTGGTTTTTTTGAGACAGGGTCTCCCTGTAGCCCCAGCTGTCCTGGAACTCACTATGTTGACCAGGCTGGCCATGAACTCACAGAGATCCGCCTGCCTCTGCCTCCCAAGTGCTGGGACTACAAGCGTGTACCACCACGCCCGACTCTTTAATCCATTTTTATCGCTAGGCGCTTCACGGTTTGGTAGGTGTTGTGGGAACCCCATAAAGGATCCTTCTCCGGCACCTCGGTGTTTTAAGACCCGGTAAGATAGAGATGTTTTAATGCAAGATAGAAAGTGGTAGATAGCCTTAGAAGCGACAGAATTGGTGCGATGGGCTTTGAGAAGCAAGAATCAGTACTTTCCTAGGGCTCAGGTCGCTGAGGCAGTTTTGAAAACATAATTATTTTTTATTTTTGTATGTGAGATGAGGTCTCATCCTAGTGCCGGCTAGTGAAGAACTCTGTGGAGCCAATCTCATCTCCAGCATGGCAATCCTCCTGCCTCAGCCTTCCAAGTCGTGGGATTATAGGTGTGAGCTACTACGCCCTGCTGAAAACTCCAAATTTCGATGAACAGTGGTGCCCAGCCTTTGAGAGGACTTGTAAAAATGTTAAGTTAAAGAATTTCCAAAGGTCTCCATAGTTGTTTTCTAGTATTTAGTAACATTCCCACGCCCTTGCCATACATGATAATCACTAGTTTATTTTAACAGATAATAATGAAAGTTGCTCCAAATTAAAAACGTGCCAAAAGCCAATGGTGAACTGTATCAGCCTTCTTCCGTCTTCTTCCTAGAGATGATCTTACCTGTAGATCTTCCTAGAGATGATCTTACCTGTAGATACTTGAATTCCTGAGCTGTTTTCTGAATTAACTATGTATATGAAAATAGATCATTTCCCCCACACAAATGGCTATTCATAATACTGTTGGGTGCATTATACAAAAAGTGTTGTGGAGATTTAAAAGTTTTGTGACACACAGTCTCTTTACGTATCTCTGGCTGCCTTGAATTCACAGAAATCCGTCTGCCTCCATCTCCTGAATGCTGTGATTAAAGGCATGTGCCACCGTACCTGGCTATCTTGGAGATTTTGCCATTTTGATAGAAATAGGAGGCCCTCATTCTCCTTAGCAGCTGTGTGATATTCATTGCAAGAAGGATACAAGTACTGAGGGTGTCGCTAAGTGGTAGAGAATTTGCTTAGCATGTGCAAGGACGTGGGTTTGAACTCCAGCAGCAAAAAGAAAAAGGAAAGAACTCATGACTTACAGACATCTAAATTGTTCTCAATCCTCTGCTCTTCAGGCTGCAGTGAGTATGCTCCCTATAATGTTCTTAAGTAGCTTTGTGAATTGGAGAGTCACCAAAGCAGGTATATGATGAATGGTGCACAGAAGGCTCATATTTAATTCTACAGAGTTCTTGGTGGGCATGCAGGTTTATTTTAGTGCTAAAAAGATCTAAAGAGAGACAACCTTAAGTGAAAGTTGGGAAGTTTCAGGTGTCTGCTTACAAGATAGAGAAAGGGAGAAATGGAAAGACTGAATTGAATTGGAAAATTGAAAGAGGAACAGGAAAACTTGAGTGTCAACATTGTTTTATTTTGTTTTTGTTTTTGTTTTTTACTATTTTCATTTTTTTGGTCTTTTTGAGACAGGGTCTCACTGTAGCCCCAGCTGTCCTAGAACTCACTATGTAGACCAGGCTGGCCTTGAACTCATAAAAATCCACCTGCCTCTGCCTCCCTAGTGCTGGGATTAAAGGTGTGTGCCACCACACCTGACCTTTTGCATTTTTGTTTTCTTAATCTATTTTTTTATTTTCTATTTTTTTATGTGTATGAGTATATTGATTGCATGCATGTAAGTGTACCATGTCGTGCAATGCCTGTGGAGGTCAGAAGAGGGTGTCAAATCCCCTAGAACTGGAATTATGGACAGTTGTTAGCTGCCATGTGGTTACTGGGAATTGAACCTGGGTCCTCTGCAAGAGCAGTCAGCGCTTTTAACTGTTGAGCCATCTCTCCAGCCCTTTTTACTATTTATTTAAATTATGTGTGTAGTGTATGTTTGTGTGGGTTTGTGCTTGTGAGTACAATGCCCTTCAAGGCCAGAAGAGGGAGTTGGATTTCTTGGAGCTCAAGTAACAGGTGGTTGGGAGCGCCAGCCTGGATGCTGGGAACCAAACTTGGGCCTTCTGCGAGAGCAGAATGTACTTTTCATAACCGCAGAGCCATCTCTCCAGCCCTCAAAATATTTCAATACAAATCTCAGCACTTGGGAGGCAGAGGCAGGTGGATCTCTGTGAGATCAAGGCCAGCCTGGTCTACGTTACTAGTTCCAAGCCAGCTGGGGCTACAGGGAGACCTTGTCAAAAAATAAACCAAAACTCCAAAAGCAAAACAAATACAAAAAAAAAAGAAAAGAAATACTGGAGGTTTAAAAAAATTTATCTGTGGGGTTTTTTTGTTTTGTTCTATTTTTTGAGACAGGTTCTCACCATGTAACTATGGCTGGTCTGGAACTTGCTGCGTAGACTGGGCTAGTCTTAAACTCACAAAGATGCATCCACCTCTGCCTTCCAATACTGGGATTAAAGGCCACTACATGCCTTTTTTTTTTTTTCTTTTTTTTTCCATTAAAATTTTTTTTTATTGAGCTTTTGTAGATCTCATAAAACAGCTCCCAAATTTAGACCTCTCCCCCACCCATGCTTCCCCAACCCCCTTACCAAACCTCATGCATTTCTCTGTACATGTTAAGTCTTATCCAGTCAAGCATTTATGCCTAGATGTCCTTCAGTGCAAATTCATCTATTGGAGTCTAGTCAGCCCAACCAGAGATCATAAGTAAGGCATACCTTCCCTCACCCAGTAGTAGTCAGTCTCCAGTAGTTCTCAGCTAGGGGTGACCCATCATCCATTTCTCTTGCTCCACTTTGAGTCCATCCCATTGAGTTGACATGGGTCCTGTGCCCAACACCACCATTGCCACAAGATCACATGTGCAAGCTTCCAGTGGCCTGAAAGCCTCTGTTTCCCTGTTTATAAACCAGCCCTGGCTCTTACAGTCTTTCTGCCCCTTCTTCCACAATGGGCCATGAGCCATGGGTGGGTGAGGTTCCACACAGTCCTATTCAGGGACACACACTCTACAGTCTCCCATTCTTTAAAATTTGGCCGGTTGTGGCCTTCTGTGTGCATCTCTCTCTCTGTGGTATAAGAAAGCTCCACTTGTGAGAGTTAAGGGATGCATTAGTTTTCTCTCTATCCCTTGTTCAGTGATGTTCCATGAGCCTTCAATGTAGAAGTTCAACTATAGATGTGTCACCTAGGACTGGGCATCTCTCAGACATACAGTCTCTGTGTGTGACCAGTTGTGAATTCTGCAGTAGTCTCCATCTGTTGCAAAAAGAAGTTTATTTGATGAGTGGTGTTTGCTATGCTTATCTGTAAATATAAGGATCCATGTTTAGCATATGGTAAGAAATTTCATTTGTATAGAGATACGACAGGAATAGGGTTTTCTGAAGGATCCATGCCCTTTCCAGCCATGTGTATTCAGCTGAGTTTACAGTGCTATCCATGAGTTTACTCCCATTGAGAGGGCTCTAAAAGTCCAATTAGATTGTTGTTGATTTCTCCCCAGACAACAGAGGCACTACTGCACCAACAGAGGTAGCTTGCTGTGCCGGTAGTTATGGTTATTAGGCTTTAGGGATGGGATGGACCATTGATTGATTTTTCACCCTTAGCAGTTTGAATATTATTATCTAGCATTATGAGAGCTAAACTTCACATAGAAAGCTTCCAGGTCAGTTCCTGCTCCATTGCTCCAAGTCCTATATCTGACGTATGTCCTGTCTTCAGCAGTAGGGTCTCATCTTCTAGTTCTGGAAGATAACCAAGAGCTTTGGCATTAGCCTATGTTCTTTTGGGAGTCTCTTGGACCACACTCACCAACCACTGAAAGGGATGTGTCTTCTGTCTGGGACTATTCTTTGACAAACAGCCCTCAGGTATACATATGCACTAATGTTTAGACACTGTATATGCATTTCTCAAGGAGTTTGGGGAGGATCACATTTCCCTCTGGGTTCCCTAGCCCCCTAAGATTCATCTTTACTCTTTTTCCATCCATCTGACCTCCTGTTTCTCTCCCCAGTCCCAGTGCCCCCATTATCCTCACCCTTCCAATAACACCCACCATCCTCCCTCTCCTATGTTCTCCCATACACACCAGGTTCCCCTGTATGTCCCTTTCTCCTTCCCTCCCAGCCAAAGACTCTCACTTTTTCTTTTTGAGACAAGGTCTTACCATGGAGCACAGGCTAGGCCAGCACTGAACTCCTGATCTTCCTGCCTCTACTTGCCTCCTGAGTGCCAGGATTACAGGCATAAACCACTATGCCTGGCTTGCACATGGTGCTTTACCTGTGAACTACATCCCCAGCAACTGTGTCATTTTCACGATAAATATTGCACAGGGTCACCACATCCAACTAAGCTTATTCATATTTTTTTTAAGATAGGATCTTACTATTTAGCCCTGGTTGACCAGGAGCTTACTATGTAGACCAGGCTGGCTTTGAACTTACAGAGATCCACCTGCCTCT